ATATGAGAAGTAGGTGTCAATAGTTGCCATGTTGGTTGGTACGCTGTCTATATTTAAAACACATGTAATCTGGGCCAAATGACGGCACCTTTACTACAGTTAAGTATGGCATGACCTTTGATATCACCTCGTAGGTATTATCGTAGGAATGCATTTCGAGCGCGCTCATTGCTGCATTGTTACCGCGTAATCTGATTTGTTATCGTAATCGCACGGTTATCGTTCCATTGTTTATTGTGTTTAAAACGGACCATGTCGTGTTCGTTCTAATTTAAGTCGATTATTGTTTATATATTGTTATATTACTAATTAGGTTTTATACTTGATTATTGTATTTAAATTAATTGTCGTCTCTATTTACTTAGCTTGAATGTTAGTCACCTATGTTGAACTCGTATAAATAAATTTAAATAATATCTGAATTGTTATTGTCATATATGACTCGTGTCAGAAAACAATTACACATATCTACTACATTTATATACAATTTCCTACGTTATATATAAAAAACGAAACAAAGGAAACTACTAATAACAGACACAATTGGAAACAAAGTAAATATGCATAAAAATATATAGGATTTGTTCACGTTCATACAGTGCAGCACCATTATTTCATTTATACTTTGCACAGGGTAATATTTAGGTAGGTGAAATATGATATTGGAATAAAAGTAACGTAATTGTATATAGGGGCCATAGGGCACATGATGGGAATGTAAACGAGGCTTATGTGTACGTTAGTCGTTGTCGGGAGGGAATCAAGTCTTCCAGTCACGACCGTTCGGGAGATGTCGTGAGATGGCAGGGAGATTGCTGCTCGCTCGCCTCCGTGCCTTCAATAACACATTGCGCAATTTACTGCACGCGGTCTCGGTCGTGATACCGCACAACACTATATCCTCAAGGTGGCTGAATTTTGTAATCACGATCACCTTACCCATCGAGATAGATGACCCCTGACTTCTTTTACGTTTAATCGTTTTAAATAGTGTATGAAAAGCAAGTCGGATCTTGTAGATGTAAAACGCAATTAAAAGCGAATATGGTACGATGTTAAATAAATTTCTGCACACAATATAGAAAGCGAGACTGAGAGGTTTGCGGCATGTCTACCTACATGTACAGTTTTTATCAAATTACGGCAATCTTGCACTGGCATGTTACGCAACGTATGGTTGAGATAATTACTTTATGACAGTATAGAGTATAGAGAAAGCTTTGTCACTACTAAATGTCCATTAACGGTTATTGTCCTAGTGGAAGCGTTTCATTACACGGTTGGCGACTCGACACGCTCTACTGCCTTTAACGAGATAGCTTGCTTCCACTCGACAAACATGCTCGGATAACATAGCAACTGGTTAATGAGTCTCGTTCTTATTATTATTATTGCTTTATAATTGTATTGCATTGTTTATCTATTATTATTGATCATATATGCTATCGTTCCATAGTCCAAATAGATTATTAAATGTTCAAAATCCGCTTATGGGAAAATATCTACGTGGTTAAAATTAGGCACATTATCAGTCTAGTAAAAGCAGTATTCTCTGCACTGGCACGTACATTCGATAGTCGTGAGCTCGTTGAATATTCAAATGGTTTGATTGATCGGTTTTAGTCACGCGCTCGCTCACTCAACTTCCTTTACAGAGCAAGTTCTTTGAGCCCATAAAATCGGTTTAAATGATTTCAACCTCATGACCTCATCTAAAGTAATAGGGTAGAGTATTATAATAGACTTGCTTTGTTTGGACTGCATGTTTCATACTGACGAATTGACGTGATATCTACCTATTTATTGTAGTGTTTGCGTGTGGAAATGTGTCTGTACTTACTCGAATTCAACTGTTTATGGTAACTCACTAATAATACGTTAAACGACATGCCTTTTAAAATGAATTCATACCACTCGTTTGTGTATATATATTGTGTTGCGGTGATAATAAAATTCAAACAATAGGTTATTTGCACAGTTGCTTTGGTTTATTATGCTAGTTTTCCACGAATTTGGTATTTATTGGAACTCGCCTACTTTACGGTTACACTATGAATTTATTTACATAGTTTATGCTGAGTCGAGTCGATCGATATATAACTTTATGTTACAGTGTTTAGTGCAATAGCTACTTACGGCGGCCCGAGCCCGCCCTTCATGAATTATTCAAACCTTGTTCGTGGTCAGGATTTACGGCTGACAGTGCGGCGTGCTACGGCGCCCGCCGCGTTCGCCGTCTATGTGTCAACTTTTTGCTCTTTCTTTCTATCTAATGAAATCTTCTCTCAGCGGTTAGGGCCCGAGTTCCCGACGTTTGTCTTGTCAATCAGGCGTTGTCGTGACTTGGCTGCAACGTTGCCGCACTTTCCTGTGGAGTTATTTGTTGCCCCATTGTCCCCGCCCTCTGATCACTGTTGCATTGTCTCGTATCTTTTGTTTACATTCCCTCAATAGTCGTTTGTTTGTAAAGATACGAGTTTGTTTTCTCTTTGTCTCGTATTCTTTGAACATTGTATTTACAGATGTTAAATTTCTTCTTTATATACGTAGTTATCAAATGAGATCTTGTATAGATATGGACAATTTAATTTAAAAATACATAACGGTCATAAGTCATCTGGGTTAGGTAATGTTGACAATGTGGAAATATTCGGAATTTGGTCCTTTTATGCAGTGCTTCTTTTTAACTGTTCATTTTATTGAAATAAACGGGTTATTATTTTACTTATTAACTTATCCAGTATGCCAAGGTTTCGGCATATATCCGACTTGTAAAACTGAACCGGTTTTATTGTATTGTTAACGGTTGAATAAATTGCACTTAAGTGGCACTCTGTGTTGATATTTGGTGCATTGAATTTTATTAATTTAAATCGACAATTAAGACAATAGAAATGAATCGCTTTTGGGAGTATTTGCTAATTTGAATTGAATTTGAATTTACATAAATAGCTATTGGTTTGGAGTCTATTTATAAACAAATAATTATACAATAGAGAATTCGATGGAAAACACTCTCATTAAAATTCTGTTGTAGTTAATTCGACACGCAAACACGTCATTGGTATGCCTGAGCATCGGGTTGAATATTCGATTTGAATAGTCATATCGTTTTACAATGTGGGCCGACGAGGTTAGCTAGAAAAAAGTAGCATAATCGAGCGATATTAGGAATGAGATGAAATGAGTGAAAGGTGTCTTGTTATGTGTACATTTTCAGAAGGAAAAAGGGTGATGTTACTAACAGAATAATTAGTCCGAAAATGAACGGTCACACAAGACACAAAGAATGAATGAATGTGATATGACACTTGGGATATAAGAATCTTTTTGTATCGGTCTCAAATAATGAATTATGTATTGAACCAGGGTAATTGTGTTTTACTGTAGAGAATTTTGTGAACTTCCTTTTTTGTATGATACTTTTATATACAGTATACATATGTACGATAACGATATCGTGATACTTATGTTGATTACCTCGTCCCTTAATGATAACTTAAAATAATACATCGTCATCATTATATTTCGTTTTCAGTGTTTTGTTAAATATAAATTTGACTTTGATAATTCTTTTTGTGTAATCTTGGTGATAATCTTTCATATCCAGTTCATATTTTACTGTCTCGTTGATTAGATATTTAATTACGTATAATTTTATTTTTGTACGTTGTTATTTAATGCGTATTTCTATTATAATCCACTTACACTACCTACTTGTACTACTTTTTCTATATTAAGAAAAACGAACACATTTCATACGGATTTAGCGGTCGAATCGTACTAAATTTAAACCTCGTTCTGCATGTGGTTCATTGAATGGCGAATATTTATTGCAAAATGCGATTAAATAACGCTTACTCGATTTTAGTGGTATAGAGTTTAGTTCGTACTAAATTATTCATCACTTGTTTGCACTATTAAAGTAGTCTGAACGAGGTATATAACTGAGGGTTACGTCATCCACAATAAAGTATGCGTGAGGCGACATATCCGCGCTTTTGTCACATTGCCCTCATTCTGGTTACGCGCCAACCCCGTGCCATCGAGATTTGGCGCTGAGCTGTTTGGCCGACTTCCAGCCCGTCATTCACAAACTACCGGACAGGTCTGCCGACGTGCCCTCACATATCATGGTTTTTAATTCCTCCAGTTTCCTTTTGAAATAACTAGTAACACAATTTTTTGGACAGTTTTATTATGTATTAATAACGTCTAGAGACCAAGCGAGTAATATATTCGTTAGGCGCTCTCTTTATGGTAAAAGGGGCAAGAGATGAATGATAGTGGCAGCCATAGAATGCTAAGAGCATTTTTACACTATTGTGTTTATAAAAGGGTTTGGAAGGTTGAAGACATTTTTATTCTTGTCGATGTTTTACGTCGTGTTAATATTTAATTTAAAGTATCAAATAATGTTAAAATACGGTGTTGCAATATATTACGTATTTATGGAGAGAGCGTTAAAAAGGTAAATTGAACAGTAATAAATTATTCACACACATGTGAATTTGTTCGTGTATTTACGTACGAAATATGTATATTTATTTTGCCAACGACGTACTGTGTGTGGTGTGAATGAGCTTGTATTGGCGTCATCCCAAATGTGTTGATAGATGCTAAAATTGACGTCACAATTTTAATTGAAGCATATTTATTCAATTGTTTAGGCATTTGCGGTTAGTGCTTTTTGAGTCAATCCATATAAACAATGTGACTTTTGACTCATGCGGTTGATTAGCCTAATAATTGTGGGTTCTTTTAAAATTTTAGCTAAATACTTATAAATGTAGATAATTACTGTTGCATAAAAGTGAATACAAATGAAGACAACCCTCACAAACGTCTGACTACTCTGTGCTTAATGTATAGTAAAAAAGTAAAACTGCTTTTTCATACTTCGTTCACGAATTTTTTATCTAATTGAATGGGATTCTATATGTAACTATTCCTATTTTGTAGAACTAAATGTATTAATTATTTTTTTTATATTGTTACAGGTGTTGCTGTAAGTGTGAGTGCGAGTGATGTTGTCGGGGTCAGTGACGAAAACGACAAGTGTGTGAAACAGGAGGAAGTGAAGCTCGAAGTGTGCGCCAATAGTGAAGGTGAAGTGAGGAGTGAAGTGAGTGGTGGTGCAGGCGCGGATGGTGTTGCCAGCGCCGTGGCCTCCGAGGAGGACGACTGTGTGATAGTGTGCGCGCGCGATGCGGACGAGAGGTCCGACTCGGGCGTGAGCGGTGTGCGGTCGGGAGGGTCGGCGAGCTCGGTCGAGGAGCGGGAGTGGCGCGGCATGGCGCACGGGTATGGCGGCGGCCCTCCTCCGCCCCTACTGCACTTGCCACCGCCACCGCCGACGCTGTACCCCAACGAGCTGCTCTGGAAGCAGCGGTACCCGCCGACGCCGATCCACGGGCCGCTGCACCATGCCATCGCTGATGACTACCTGGCCTCTTACGATAGAGAGAGACATGAAAGACTGCTACGGTGAGTCTCCGTACATATATTAGTTTAGGATTTAGTTAAATACTTTTTGAAATTAATAGTAATGGTGAACAAGTTGACCCATTTGAAGAAAATTTCTAGCCTTCGCCAAAGATATATCTAATAACCATTCAAATCACGATTCACATGACCGTGGTGCTTATTTTTGTGTTGCTATACCTAAGGACTGAGGTGTCCATGCCTACGAGCCAAGTAAAATAATTGCTATATATCATCCTTTAAACCAGAACACAGCTTGCAAGTTCCGTCGCATGAATAAACGAGGCAAAGTTATCTAAAAATATTATAAAGTAGTACAAGAGAAACTTCTAAAGAATAGAATAAAAGTTGTCACTTGTGAGCCCATGTTGGTATTTATGAAATATTGAATAAGTTTCTTTTGTTAACATATTTTGAATCCTTCGTACTAAATCCATGCTTGACTCGAAGATGTAATATATAAAACAAAGTTTTCAAATTCCTGTTCTCCTTCAGTTAAGTTATTTTAAACATTGAGGTTATGAATAGATTTCCCATTACTTTGTGATATTTTCTTTTTTTTATGACACTTTCTACGAGTACTCCGTCTAAAAATATTTATCAGTAGGTACATATAAAATGTATTAAGTTTTATCAGATTAGCTATTACAGATCTGATACACTTATCTTTCTGAACTTTTCACATCACTATCAGTGGAATGCAGGAATTTATATTAGCAATAAATAGAATAATTTATAGCTAGACACTTTGATCTTCTATTGATTGTATTTAATGTATACTTGGAATGACTCAGCATACACCCACTATGTGGGAGTTCATTATTGCTCGCTATGACGGTGAGTCATGTTATTCCATCGAATTACGTTGTTGTGATAGATAAAAATACAATATGACAACCAACCATATTATGTCAACCACACGGAAAACAAAGTTAAGGTTTACTTTTAAATCTAATTGTGATATTGATTATGATTCAATCCATTTTTGTGTTGTGGGCTACACTAATCAAGTAAGAATAAAATATACCATTGGCAAGTTCATTCAATACAAAAGTAATGTAATTTTTAAAAGTAAGTAATATTGCAAAATTACTCTGTAATTTCGATCAATAAGTTTTTTAGTGTAAGAATCAGTAAACAGATAATGCACATTTATTAAATATTATGTATTTAGTTTAGCTGTATCTTTTTTATATATTCTTAAATTTACCCCATTAAAATTTTATTTTCTAGGATTAACGCTGAAAAACTATGGCCATTAACTCAACTTAAGTGCTTTACCTACGAAACAGTTCACCCGTCGTTTGAAAATTAAAGTAGACTATGTAGTCATTGTTAGTCAATATGTACGGTATTTAATGACTAGGACAGGACAGCCGAGTTATTCGTGTGTGCACTTCCATTGTATTTCATAGCTTTTTAACCAAACAGAAATCAAATTGTTAACCATCGATCGTGTAGCTAAGCGCTAACGGCTGATTTGTGAAATGTTTTGTTTTATTAAACGATCGAAGTAACTTCGAGGTTGATTTTTGGGAATATTTATAGTCGATAAATTATTTGATGTAGTAGTAATCTCTAGTAGGATCAAACTAAATCTTGTAAGATACGATGATGGTATAAAGTCGGATGGATAAACTAGAAGAAAGTAAGCTCTAATAGCCGTGACCTTGACCATTGCGTGACTGTTAAATAGTAAAAAAAACAATACAAAACCTCAGTGAACGATTCGTGGTCACGAATACATTGCCCTACAACCCTTGTAATAATAATGGTGAAATTTGCATTAATTAAAGTTCTAATTCATTATATACGATGTATTTTTATTAAAATCTATAAATAGTAATAAAACTGTCCGTGTCTGCTTGCTTATAAAGCACGCAACGGTTTTAATAATGTCCACAATCATTTCGATAATTTCTTTCCCAAAGTTTATATAATGGTAATACATGCGTATTGTTTGTTGTACACCTATATTTATATTCACCCTAGTGGTTAATATTTTTTTTACTTTTACCAAATATGACCAGATGTTAATGATTATTTTGCAGTCATTAGTGGTTATGTCTCATACTGATTATATTACAGTTAATAAATATTTGTAGAACTGTTAACTTATAGAAAATATTCTAAAATCTATTCATAACATCATTTGTTGAATAAATATATTTTACTATTACTTTTTTTTGTCCTATTATTACTAACTCGATAGTTAAAAGACGTTTATAGGTAGTCTACTTTTTATAAAATTTTAATCAGTATAGATTTACGTTATATTTATCAACAACATTCGCCGTATCTCTTCATAAAATTAGTCTAATATTAATATTAATATCTACTATTAATATTAAAATAGAGATGGGAGATAGAGACGATTTTGTTGGGGAAAATATAATCTACAATAAAAGCACTGTTTCAAGTAATTCTATGACTATTTGAAAGGTATATTGTTATTCTATAGTATTCTAGAGTAGGTTATGTATTACGTAAATATGTACAAAACTTACAAAGTTATAAGCACTTAGACGTAGCCTCTAATTTACATGTAGATTTATTTTTATTAAAATAACGGTTATTTTGTAATTAGATTAATGACATAGTTAATAAATAACTACAGTAAGGTACAATATTAATGTTTCTTATATAAGTTTTATACAATAACCGGTAGGTCTAACGAGTTCATCGGATAAATGTAAAATAATAACAGTATCATTAGTGATCGGTAGTCGAGTTACATAATTGTGGTTTAATATTAATTGATGCCCTAACTAGTCAAGTGACTCAGTTTAAAACATCTTACAATGATATTACAACTATCAAAGTAGATTTGAAAATTGAAGATTATAATTCTACAAATGTGGTATGAATCCCGTATATGATGTAATATCTATTTAATACTAGCTTTTACTAGCGTTTTTAATAAAAATTATCCTACGTTCATTAATACCGCCAAGAACATGTTTACAACATTTCATGATGATCGGTTCTGTACTTTTTGCGTGAAAGCGTAACAAATTCCTACTTTCAGATTTATAATATTATATTAAGGATTAAGCATTGGTGGACCTGGTCATAAGCTTCTACATAAGTTTTAATAACGCTAAAGTATCGTTATAAACTAGTTCTTTAATAGTAAAATATTGGATTTACATTTCAGGAAAATATTAATGCTGCCGATTTAAAAATTTTTTATACATTGTTATTGGGAATTTAAAGGAAATAAATTACTATGCAAAGTATTTAATACCTTCTTTGCCCGATATCTGAAATGCACGTTAATTATTAAATTATTATTTAAATACCAGCTCATTATATGAAAGGGGTGTATTTATATATTCAGACGTTTGTAATTTTGTACCCACTTAAATGAATTATCATATAAATAACATGTAAACCAGTTTAATTAATATTTGTTTGGGAAACTCGGTGTGGAAACCGACTCTCACATTACCGGTTCTATTTATTTTTATACATTAGTAGTTGTAACTCATGAACTGTAGCTCAACTTTTTGACGAAACTGACAGATTTGTAACGTTTGCTTACTTTTTGAAAATGCGTACATTACACGTTACGAAGTAACGTTACGATTATTAATTGTTATTTATAGTATTTTTCTTAGAATGATAATAAAAATAAACCTGTACCTATTTCTCTTTTTCTATATAGGCAATAGTTATGGACGACTTGTAGACTCAGAAAAGACATATGTTATTAAAAAGTTTATTAAGCATGTGGCTCGAAATACTATTATAAATGCTTAGAAAAAGTATAAATAGTACAAATTCCTAAAAAACAGTAAGAACAATTGTTATATTCACTAAAATAAAAATATGGATTCGCATATTTAAAAACTGAGGCGTATAAATACTGATGCATGCTAAGTGTAGCATGCATATGGGTACATAAAAATGATATGATTGATATTTTGTTTCTAAACAATTTCTCTTTAATAAAAAGGCATTACTAAACTGAACAAAATGTAACTATTATTCTATTGTTATCATGAAAATAATAATTTAAAAAATATTTACTAGTCTCGGTTGAAAAACATTGCGTAATGAAATAATTATCCTACGTAAAAGCGAATGTCAGTGTCACCCGCAATAGATTATGTAAGCAGAGGAGAATAGTACAAGAATCTTTATATATATATTATAAAACTTAAATTGTGATAGAATAACACAATATTTTGATCCATGCACATTGTAAGTGAAGTTATTTTTTCATGAAATTTCTGTGATTTTCTACTTTAACGGTTTATCTGTAACTCAGAAATTCCAACGAAAATATTTATCCCATGATGGAAGGGAATTTATAATTTCCGATCATCAAGGGGATAAATCATAATATTTAATATTCAAATTCATTTCTTTAACGAAAACGTAAAGAAATAGCTTTTCTATTTAGATATAAATAACATTATAAATAAACTTTCTATTCGTGTGCACCTTTCGATGTTGCATAGTGTTAAAAATTTAGAATGTGTCTAGCCGAATCACTATGATTGTGTTGCTACAAAACAATTTTCGTGAATTTAAATAGACATCTTCAACTCAGATTCTTGTCTTTGCAGTATTAAGCATGCAATATTATAAATTGTCCATGTTCTCTAATTAATTCTATTTTTCGAGTTTCCTGATTATATATTGTGAGTATATATTGTGAAGAATTCAATTTGTTATTAGTTGACGTAACTGTATTTCTTTTATACAGGAAAGAATATAAGTTTTTTAGTTGCTTTTTATAGTGGAATGTTTCTTGATAATGTTCCAAATCAAACAAACAGAGCCAAAATTATATTCCACCATTTACTATCACTGTGTTTATATTTACTAAACCTTTATTCATGGAAATTAAAACAGCAGTAATACTAAAATTTACATTTTCTATTCTTGGAGTATTAATTATATAGCATATAAATATTATATGCTAGTACTATTATAGCATAAAAATAGCTCAAAGAAATGGAGAAGACAGTTCAGTATTTATAATAGACTTTAGAGTTTTAATTAATAATATGTACCTAAGCAAAATAATTTTATTATTGTTCGCAATAGAATAGATTCAATGATTATAGTTTGAAATAATTATCAAACAATGTTCGCAGCAGTAATTTGTTGGAATTCGTTCAAGGTCGACGATTACTACGGGCGTCAGAGTTGTTCACAAGTCAAGGTCATTGTACGCATTGTCGATTGAGATGCGACGTACATTCCTGAAGTTTTGCCATTTATATTCAAACCTTCCGCCGGGTGAAATGAAAGGTTAATATATTTTGAGATGTGTGGGAGTGCCAAGCGATACAGGACAGTGATACATTCATGATAATTCGGTACACAATAATTTACAACTTTGTTCTGCTGTTAAAGAAACTAATTAACTTCGTATTATTATTTCGTTGTCTGTTAAACGAGCCGTTTCATTCGCTTTAATTAACATGTTCGTTCGCCAGGAAGTACCTAACGTGTAGTACGATTAATCTACTAGTTTGCGTATATATCTATCAAAACGAATTAATATAATATGTTATGTATAACTGCCAGAGTTCTTTAGTTAAAATTTAATAACAACATTGTAAAATTCCGTTACAAAAATACTTTTCAACTAAGTAGTTAGCGCGCTAGCTCAATAAGTTCCTTTCAATAAGATTGTTCTCAAATAGATATTGAAATGTAGATATTATGTTCAATTCACTGATTTCTTGCTCTTGAATATATTTCCCGCGTATTTAATGATGTTATATCTCTTATCCCATAAATATCTTTGTATAGTTCTAATAACTGATTACTACTACCATAATGTTTTTTAATTTTTAGACTGCACCGGCAGCAATTTTGCCGCCAAGCCACAAGAAGCGAGTAAGTAGCAAATACAATAATAGTTTTAATGAAAAAATAACAAAAGAATAAGTGTACTACGAATACCTTTACATCTTCATAATATACATAATAATACATTTACAGTAGGTGAAGCCATAACATCATAGCAGATGCTATGCTGATGATACGCTTCAAACCGGTTTCCAGCAAAAAATACGAGAGGAAAAGTTCACTTTACTTATCGATCGATGTCTGTAAAAATGCCTCAATGTATTAGACAGGATTTTTTATTGGCAAATATCTGGGAAACATTTAATTTGGAGTACAATGCTTAGGAATTTGTAATCCTCGTGTGGTTACTGAATGCATTCACTTATTTGTTAATACTGAATCTCATCTGATTCAGTGCTTAAAGAGCACTATTTTAACCGATTTCTATATTACATTTATATTGAAATATAGTAACTTTTATTTTCACTGATTTGGACTGATTTTCCTCCGCCTGACTACATTAATTTGGTTCTTAAATTCATCTTCCAGCTCAGCAAACAACTTCCAAAGAGTCTATATTTTCGTTTCTGTTCGAAAAATGTCGCGTAACACTAAAATTAATTTAACATGCTTTGATTACGCATGTAGCAAAAAGAGGAAACTTAACGATTTATTTAATGTCAATATTTTTCGATACCTATGTTATTGTATGTTATTCCGTAATAATGTTGATTAAGACAATACTTTTTAAATGGTTGATGGAAATAGTCAATATAATTTCGCCAAAGTTTGTAGTAGTCATTGTAATTGTTGTACACTTTTATTTAAAAGTAGTTTATGGAGAGGAAGTACGCCATATTTATTTTAAAACGAGTAAAAGCTACCAATACCTAATTATAGAATCTTTATATTTAAACAATCCGCTACGGTACGTTTATTTCTGCAAAGAAGTAGTCAATATATTGTACTCTTTACACAAAGTTAAAAGTTGTTTTTTACATTTTTCATAGTGAAAATGCTATGGGAACGGAAATTAGACCGGGCCTATGCGAAACGATGCGAGTTCAGTAGATATAAATAAACAACAGCTTTAAATAATGTTGTTGACGCAATACAGGAACGGATATATGGATAACGGTATGCATACTTATTGACCTTACTCTAATCCAACGGGGTAGTTCTGCGATGTTATGGTACAGACTTATCCGAGGTTCAAAAATACTTTGACGATTAAATGTACTTCCTAGTTTACCATGTATTATGTTATAATATAAAAATTGACAATTCATAAAAAGTTAATAAATTACTCAGACTCTGAATATATACTATTGATACTTAACAACTAGTAAAGATACTTAAATCAATTTTAATGCTTGTAAATACATGTGCGCTACATAGTAGGCTGACGGGGAACTCGTGAAAGTATGAGAATTATGTTAGTTCAATCCATCGCGATTTGTTTGTTGTTGTTAGAGGGAAACCAGTGCTAAACTGGCTAAGCTAAACTAGTTTAATTCAGCACTCAATCAGATTATAGTAACAAGTCATATAAAACAAGTAACAAGATACAGTGATAAGTCCCACTTACTAATAATCGCCTCCTCACGCAGGATTGTACTAAAGCGCGTTACTACGAAGGTCAAACGGTTTATATTCAGATGACATGAAAATATTTTATAGTTTACTTTATAACTGAGGAAGGTCACAGGAAAATTCAACAGAACTTAAATGTAGTTTATTATTGTTACGAAAATATACTTAATTCTAAGGTGAGTGAATATGGTAGTTTATACATAGACTTTCTTATGAACTTCAATGCAAGTAACATTTCACACAGTTTATGTGGTGAAACTTTATAAAAGGTAAACTCTATAAACGACTTGCTGTCGCCTTCGTCGGTAGACACTTGACACACATAAATATGGTAGTGAATAATGCGTGGGTAAGGCTTCGTTTTACATTGAAAATACCATTTCAACAATGTATGAAACCATAAAATGTTTAAAACATTAGAATACCTAGATATAGATAGAGTAGTTATTATGTACCAGGTTAGTCAAAAAGATTACTAAAGTCAGGTAGCAGGTGCGATATTGAAATTGTACTAGATGAGTCATATAGTTGTAAAAAAAACTTTAATCAGGAAACGAATCTAATCTTAAAATAACTTCGAACTTTTCATATTAAAATGTTCACGTGACCGTAAGTCTGTTAAGAACTTTTCTAATTATTTTTAATTTTCTACTGCTTCTTTAGTAAAGTTGTATGGTTATGTGGATTTCCGTAGGTTAAAGAATGTTTACTATGGTTTAATTTACAGGGGTACTCTCTAAAAATATACTTAACACATGCAACCAATGCATAACAAACAAAAAATTACATCTTTTCTCTTTATTATATTTGTTTCCATGTTTGACATAGATATTCAGTTTTTGTGATGGAACTCATATTTGGGAATTACCCATAATCAGGCTCTTTGTTTTTTCAATAATAATAAAACTAGTTTTAAAAGACCTAATAGTTCTAAGGTAAATTGGTTTTACCCGCAAATCTGTCTATGTGAGCAGGACAAATGATTGACCGAGATAAAAATAGCTTGTTTCCTACTTAATCTCAAATATGGATATACCAAATCATTAGTTTAGGCGGCCAGATATACCTAATAATAAAATTCATCAACGTTCACAATTATAATATTAGTATAAACTGCATTTATTCTGTGATATCTAAGTGCCTGCATCTTAAGACTCTTGTCCATTTGTTGAGCGCCATTATGATCAAACAACAATAATAATTAAAGTAAAATTGTATTAAATATTGTACTTAATTTCATATTGTACGTTGGATAAACTGGTCGTTTCCATATATGATAAACAGTTATAGACAATAAATGCTTATCTATCTATGTAAGCATATTAAAAATATATTCAAAATTTATTATTTTACCCCTTTATATTGGGGTATTCTTTTCCACCAGCTACTTTACGTAATTTTATTTGCCTCGTCATATTTTTACGATTTTATTATTTCTAAAAATAATGCTGGTTTTAAAATGAAGTCTAAATAATACGTAATAATTATCGTCTTATGTAATTGGCTATTGTACGAATGTTTTATTACCTAAAACTAAACAGTAAGTAGGTTTTTTCGGGGTCAATACCCTTGATAACATTCTACCTACATTTAATTACCCACCGATTATAAAATTAAATTTAGATGGTACTGACTGCTTGATTCTGTGAATTTATTTTATAGTTCCTATGAAACTCATTCAGTTTAATTCGAATTGTGTCGTGTAATTCAAACGGTCGACATTAAAGAAATGACCTGAAATTCTATATTAAGTAATATATCAACGTATCAGTTAGTTTGTTCTTATAACTAATATCACTGATGATTGTCTCCAGTGGCAATCTATATATGAAAGTTTGTAGGGAGGAAACTGTAATCTTGTAGATAGCTACTAAGATTGTAGGGAACACTATATTGTTATTATAATTTCTTTAATTGGTTTAATTACTATGAGTGAGTATGTATTGCTATTAGTTGTTTGCTACTGAATCCGATCGATTCCCTATTGCATTTTAAATTTTTAACCGATATTACGACGGCCTGATGTTCCAAACTCGGGTTAGGCAGTCGTAATTTACCTCTAGTGAATATATAATTATTAATTGTGTTTGCCTTTGTGCAATGTATTATTATGATTTCTCATAGTTTAAGATGCTTCTACGACTTAAAATATGATGAGGATCGATGATTGACAATCCTAGTTCTGTGTCAACCTCTCAAGGGTATTTCAAACAATTTGCACTAAATCTTAATTAATTATACACTTAACTTCCTTAGAAAGAACTCTGTTGAGAGATGAAAACCACATGAAAATCAGTTTTTGAGATTATGTCAAACATACAAACAGACGTGGCCAGGGATCTTAGAACATATCATGGTTCACACGATTTTTTGATCGATAAAATTCACTAGTTACATTTACAGTATTCTGTCTGTTGTACAAATTTATAGAAACAAGCATTGTACAAATGATCAATAAGGAAATATACGTATAAATGGTGCAGTTTACAATTCTTGATTTATTTGTCCATTTGATTTTGATTCCGCTTTAATTGACAGTACTGTTCAATCGGACTGTTCATTTATACTGTCCCGTATGTAGGCAAAATTGACAACAAAGCAGTTCCAATACTGCAGAATGATTGGTACAACGTTATATGCTAGCAGTTATATCTCTCAGTTAAAAGTATATGAGTGGTTGGTAATAGAGATTTTCCTACTTTGCTAGCGACTACGTGCTCGTAAATAAATTATTTATATCCATAATATTATTATAATTGCCAGTATGACTGTCTGTTTGTTTGTTCCATTGGTCTAAACGACAGAACGGATCCTAATAAAATTGACGCGAAGATATATGATAACACTAAGAAGGATATAGGTTGTTTTTTGTTTAAAAAACAACAGACGAAGTCGCGGCTATTATATATTTTACACATTTGACACGCCAATCTCTTCAACAATAAGTCCATATGTTCTTATCGAATGACTAAACGATCGTTTTGAGTTTGCTAAATAGTGTATGTTGTATAGTGTATACATAAACCATCTGTAGTAAATATGTTAATTACAATTCATATAAAAATTCGTATCCGAGTTTAGAAGTAAGTTTCTAAACTTCTAAATCACGGCTTAAAACAGTGTAAAAAACGTTTTTTACTTCTTAGTGATAATAGTGAACCGTGAAGAAATTAGGTTCAACTATGAGAGCAATGAGGTAATAAAATAAATACAGTAAATCCTCAATATCACTTAAGTAGAGTTATACTAAAGATAACATATAACATGGTTATGTGGTGTATGTATTATTTACATGAGTATATTTTCATATTGGGAAAATATGACAAGTTCATATCATTAACAAGACTTAAAACTGGAGTAATTATCTTATCAGTAATTACATAACTAATATGAATTAATGCAAACGTTATCAGTGTATGTTTTTCAAAGTAACTTATCTTGTAGTTATTGTACAATATTATACATAGATAATGTCTAGAAATGTTTATCTTAATTTATTATTTTATTATCAAAGTGTAGATTGTTATTCTAAATGTTATTGACTCGTATTACTATCGTAGAATATGTTGGTTGGCATTGGACCACAGACACACATAGAGATAGATGACGCAAGTACAATTTGTCTTGATGTCGCAAAAGTTATTTATTGATACCATGCTACACTAAAATAGCATAGGTAATACCATAGACACAATATGTACTACATTAGAGCAAATTAGGATCAAATCAGCGTTAAAAATGAAAAAATACATGCTGTCATTTAGTAATTTAGATTTATTTTCAATATATTCTATTATTGTATTATCTTTGATAATTCTACATATAAGTATGACATATTTCATAGTGTCATCTATTCCCAGATTAAACATAGCGTGAAATAACTACTTAATTTTTGGTATAATTTCACAAGTAAATAAATATCTCAAATCCTCAAATATAAATATTCCTATTAGACGGTGATCATATCCTCGACCATTGGATGATTAAACAGTGTATTAGAACGCTAAGATTCTTATAATATTTAAGTCAATATGCGCATATGCAAACTCCTTGCCCTATTTTATAGGTTATTTTGACTTTTCCAAATTATAGCTATATATGTGCCTAATTATTATTGACACATTTTATCAATTGGTAGGTACTACAAAATAAATTTAATAATATTTGTGCAGTATCCAAACTTGTTTCTGTTGAATATGTTGGTGCCGTTGCTTGCCCACATGTTAATAATTGCTTCGTGAGTAAAATCTAAATCTTTGGTGTGAAATGTACATTAAACAGATGTTGTAATTAATCAACTTAATTAAATTCGCACATAAATTAATGTTAGTGTGCATAAATTATCCTTTACTGGATCAGCTTTGGTCATCTAATTAATACTGTTCATATGTGTGCGGTATGTATTCTATAAAGTAATATAATATTGATAATAAATAAATAATTTAAGTATATGGACGACAAATACTACCTTCTGATTCTAATAAATATGAATACTGTAGTTTTACTATTATTTTTAATATAACATGAAGAAATAATTTATATCAAGTAATCTTGTATAGGTAATGAATTATGTTATTCATTTTTGCCCTCTTCTTAGAGTCTTGAATATAATATTGAATTCCTTTATTGCTTAGAACCATTTATTGATGACGTAAACTACCTGAAAACATGTAATGAATATATATGTAGAAATACTTTACTAACTTTCATTTTATTTCAAAATTTTGAAGACGTCTCCGAATAAACCTGGTTTTACTATAAGTAATTTACTTTGGCATTTTTTTATAAATCACTTTTTTTATTGATCCTACTTAGTTCGAAATCCTTTATTTTATAAGTTTTATTTTCGGCTAATTTACTGTCGTAAGCTATAATATATCGATCAGATATTAATAAAATTATATATAGGTACGTAAGACATACGCTTATAAATAATTTTTTGTGGACCTATAATCTCATATTCTATTCCAACTACGCCCACGCATAGTAACTCACAAGTATATGTTATATAAGTATATATTACGACAGATAGATGAAATTAGATACATGCTAAGTTAACAACCGCCCACATGAATTTTAAATATCTAACTTGATTTATGACATATTTAATATATGTTTTTTGACATTGACATTAACGTGGTATATAATGATTCCTATAAATTCTATTTTGTTCCAATTGAACATTTTACTTTTGATCTTTATTTGTTTGTATGTAAGGAAGAACTTCTTGAATGACTAGGTATGTGAATAATTGTAAAATACCTTACAACAAAAATTCTAACTTTATCCTGATTAATATAAATGTATTTCCCAAGGGGGGAACACGTCACTGCTCGTAGCGTATGCCACAAGGTTGTGTAAATGAAATAAAGTTAATTAATGTACTAAATATCAGAAAGGTGTTTCCGAGGACTCATAAATGTAGTCAGGGGCATTGTTTTCTTACGTGATTCTACCTAAAGGTTTCATTATGAGAAGATATTTTAATATAGGTTTTCTTTGTTTATAGAGAACGAAGGGAACAGGAGCAACAACGGGATATATTGGAGAAGCAGCAAAAAGAAAGAAAGGAGAGAGAACGGATAGAGCAGGAGCGGGAGAGGGAAAGAGAAAAACAGGAGAGAGAGGAAAAAGAAAGGAGAGATCAAGAAAATGCCGCCTCTAAACTCGTCTCCAGGCATTTCGAGGAGTCGTTTCGGTTGGCTAATCAGAAGGTTAGATAATTTTAATAGTTTATGAGTATAGTTAACACTTAATTTCTTTTGAAAGATATTGTAAAAATATTGCTTTAATTGTTACTTACAATTTAGTGAAGTAAATCTATTTATAATATTACTAGAGTTTATTATAAACGCTTCATCAGTTTAAATAATTATATTATAATGACATAATTACTTTTATTCTTTCTAATGTATTCATATAAGTTAGATAACAATGACTCATTAAAGTTGTTACGAAACCAGCTCGTTGTTTACCATGTTATCCTGTCATAATAGGATCATTCATCATAACGAGCATGTATTGCGTACTTCATGATGTAGACTAACAGTATTTGAATTTGTCATTTCAATTATTTACAGAGGGAGCGTAGCATGTCGTGGTCGCTATTGAACAGCATTCCTCCACCGGGTCGTGCGGCTGGACCCGAACACGAACGGTTACGAGCACCGCCACCAGACCGCGCCTACTACTCGCCTCCTTCGCATCCTTCCGCGCATCCTCCCCATCCTTCACCTCGCGCACCAGCACCTTCTCCCGCAGATTATTGTTCCCCACATGCGCGACTCTCCATCTCATCCAAACCTGAAAAACCCACGGCTCATCCTCCCTTACCTAAGGGCGAACCAAATTTTGCACCTTATAATTATCCTCCTTATAGGTCATACGATAAACTTAAAGAACAACATTTACCGGCGCCACCGCCCTTGGTGCCGGAAAAAAATTCTGTGATAGTCAAGCACGACGCCAAACAGATTCACCTGGAGCAGAAACATCCTTATCCTAGCAAGCCCAGAAGTGAACCATCGCATTACCTTCCTTCAAGACCGTACCGAACCGGCCTATCCCCTCATGCACCGCCACACCCACATCCAGTGCTCCAAACGTCACCACATGCAGCATTGCCTGCGCAAGACAAAAATAATAGGCGTTTATATCAACCTCCTCCACAACGATCCCCAGCATATTACCAAACGGCACCACAAGTTAAGCCAAAGGTGTCCAGCCCGGCACCCCAACATATATACGGCAAACCTAGCAGTAACTCACCTTGTCCCGCACACTATGGAGTTGCTGTCGAGCCTTCTCTTCAGATACCAAAAACGGAGCCGCCGCCAGTACCATATCCGCCGCCGTCCGCGTACTCGCCCGCACCTCGGACGAGACCACCGCCAGTGGCACACTGTCGTACTCCTGAACCTCGACCGCCACCGCGTGCTCACGGTGACACTAATGCTCCGTCACCATGCCAGACGCAACCTCTGGATTTAGGTGTCACGCGCGATGACCCAGATAGGTTGTCGCCGCGCCGCCGTTATCCCTTCGAGCCCGCTGACGCGGACGCGAAGCGAAGGCGTCTTGAAGAGCTGCCCGCACCAGAGCCGTTAATCGCAGCGGCTGCGAGTGTCGGTAGGACACCTCATGGCTCAGAGCCAGCACCACAGGCACCCGGTCCACCTTGCGACGTACGTGTACCCTCCGCCGATGGCAGTATTGAAACACCCGAACGTGCCGCCGGCGCTTCTCCTGCTCCTCAGCTGACGCCGGCGGCCAGTCCAGCCCCAGCAACTCCGGTGCCTCCATTAGCTGCGTCACCGGCCGGCGCAGTAGCACCACCAGCCGCACCTACGCCACCCGCGCCCCCTGCTACTCCTCCCGTCACACCACTCGCCGAAGGTGATACTCCAGCTAAGTCTACCTCACCGCGTGACGGTTCAGCACCAGTGCGACACCTTGGCAAAAAAGCGTGGCTACAACGACACGAAACTGCTCCAATAGGTGAAGGGGACTGTTCCGGTGGTGGCGGAACTTGCATCACACTCCCAATGACCATCACGAGGGTTTCGGAGCCCGACGACTCGAGTTCTAATATAGTGGTACCCGTAGCCGCAAAATCCATCCAGCGAGGTGCTCGGAAAACATCGAAACCGCGAAAGCCAAAGGAAATGAACGGTCGCATCGATGACGCCGAGGAGGATAGCTCGAGTTCCGACAGAGAGACGACTGCTCCACCAAAAAGGAAACCACCTAAAGCGAAGCGGAAAAAGGGTATCATTCCGCGAAAAGCCGGGGACGAACCTAAAAAGAAGAAGGCTTCCGAGAGCGGTAGCGAGAGTGACAAGGAGAGTGACGACAAAGATTCGGATTCCGGAGGTAGTGGGAGTGGCAGTGGTAGTACGTCGAGTAAGCGTGGAGGTGGGGGTCGCGCGCGAGGCCGGAGGTCACGAGGCGGCGGCGGGGGTCGCGGGGGTCGACGAAAAGAGGACCCCCCACGACGCGGACCCGCCGGCGCGCATGCGCGACCGACCAATGAGTCGTTTTTACAAAACGGTCCCTGCTTCGAGGTGGCGCCGCGGCTCGCTAAATGCCGAGAGTGTCGGTGGTCGCCAGCGCAGCGAGATAAGGACATGCCGAACATCTTTTGCCGTTTCTACGCTTTCCGAAGACTGAAATATGCCAAGAATAGGCAATTAGCTATAGCTGGGTTCTCGGACCCTTACAAGGATGCAGATGAGGTAAATATTAATTTTATAATAATTCAGAATTTTGTTCATGAAGTGTAATTAGTTAATATTTTGTATTTATTATGCATAAAATATGATTTAAAAAGTTCTGTTTTACATATACTATAAAAGCTAATTTCCATATAACATTAAAGTTATATTTTATCTTCTCAGGAGGATAAGAAATTATGGCTGTCATCATCCGCCGGTGCGGCGGAATTAGATATAGAAATGAGTTGCTTCCTGCTAAGGGAGATTGGAGACCAGTTCTGTGAACTGCTACAACAGGAGAAAGAGGCCGAATCACATCATTTGAATGACGGTACGTTTTATATTTAATATTCAATTTTAAATATGAAACGCATACATAAAAACTATAGTTTTCCAGTAGGTCGAGACGAGCAATCTCTATTCGATTGAATAATCTGATGATACTATTACAGGCCATACATATGCTGCAATGTGAGTGTCTATCACTAATAAAACATGTAGTTTCTACTAAATAGTAGTGTCAACAATGTTATACAAGTTCAGTAAATATATTTTGTAGTTTCAGAATGAGATCATCAAGTATAGTCATAAAGGAAATATCACAGTTGATTATGATATGTACCTACTATATTGTATGTACAAATTTTGTGTAAATATAATAAAACAATGGTACCTAATGAGTTTTGACTGTAGGCACTTGGGAAAATATTTAAATCTCGTGTTTGTTTTTTCCCAATTTATATGACGCAGATGGGTAATCAACTATTAGATTTTCTAATAAAGTTCGCTTCAAAGATATAATTGAAAGTTACCTAAGGTAGACTTTGAAAAAAGGAATTTATGGCGATACCTCTGTGTAAAGATATAATTGAAAGTTACCTAAGGTAGACTTTGAAACACACACAGAGGTACCTGTTGAGCCGCTCAACAGGTTGACTTTTAACATGCACCGGTTTAAGGGTTAGATAGCTCTCACCCTTAAACCGAAGGTATCAAGGCAGTAAATTTATCAGATAAGAGGCATGACATCATAGTTTTCCGGATTAGTAACGCATGAGCGCTATCGCAAGTGTCACGTGAAAAGTTATGACCGTTTTTCCGTTCATGTTTATATTGACGACGTTTACCACTTACTAACATGTGGGTTAATAGTTGACAAACTATTGGCTCAACTGTTGCTAAGTACTAATCAAAATTTCAATGACATAAAAACAGATTTTACTGGTCATAAATCTATTCTCAATATTCGTTATAGCTATAGAAGAAAGTGTGTTTGCGATATCCCTATTCATTGTGTGTAAACTTTGCTTGTTCACAGACAAGACAATAGCGTGGAAGCGCGTAGTGCAAGGTGTTCGCGAAATGTGTGACGTGTGTGAGACTACACTATTCAATTTCCACTGGACCTGCGGTAAATGCGGGTTTGTCGTCTGCTTAGATTGTTATAAGGTTAGTTTCATATTTTTATACATGTTACTGTTTATTTAAGCATGATATAAGTTTATAAAATTAATAGCTATGTTGTATTTTTTACTCAATTTGTCAGTCAATATTAAAATTAATATTAACTTTTATGGAATTTTGTTATGTGCGTATACTATACCTATTTCTGGTAGGTCTTTAGATAATATTGTCTTGCGGTTGAATAATTGTGAGTAACCTATTGTTTTTTGTTTACAGTCACGGACGTCCGGAGAATCGGCCAATCCTACTAACGAGTCCAATAGCACAGCAAATTCCACCAGCAATGGCGAGAGAGATTCTTTTGGGTAATTTTTTTTTAATATCTCCATTTCTCTCTCTCTCTCTCTCTCCCCTAAATTGGCATACGAAATGTCTGCACATTTCCATCCACCAGATTGATCATAGGCTCTGGATGTCACAGATTAACTAGCACCGTTATGATAGCCACTTTGTTTTTTACTGCTGGAATGATAAAAAAACATACTGAACCTGATAAAATACACTTTTTTTTAGTACTGGAATGATAAAAAACCTGCCGGATGGAAAGTGGTAACGGCTTGGTCTCCATAGTGACGCCCTTAGTACTCTTACACTTTGTCATACACAAAGAATTCAATAAAATTTTTCAAAGTAATAAGTAGCCAAATGGGCCTGCGTTAAGTGTTGCGTTAACCAATACATCTACATTTGACAATGATTCTGACTAAAATAATAGGGTAGTCAACCCTATCTCTAATAACAGCTGTGACGGTGTGTATGTTGGAACAATATTTCAATGGATACGGTTTGCAGTTGGCTGACATGCACGGCTGGAGGCGCTCACCCGGCGCGGCGGCTGCTGCTGACGCAGATCGCAGCTGGCGGCGCGCTGGCTGCGGCGGCGGCTCGGCTGCACGCCACGCGCGCGGCCTGGTCACTACCCACTTGCGGCTGCGGCGTTGCCACCGACGCTCCCCCCGCGAGGCGCTCTCGGGCACGACATCTACTCCAGCGCGCCCTCCAGAAGGTATATATGATTATCGCATACTTGTTCTTTTATAAATTAAAATATTTTATAAAATAAAAAAAATATGCTATTCAAAAGTGCTTATATTATGTTTATTTGAATTAAAACTATTTCTGTTTCTATAACTCCACTATTCATCATCATGATATATTTTTTAAGTATTTAGGGTAATGTTTTCATACCGATATCAAAACTTCGATAATATTTTCAACACCATAAGGGCAATATAATATTTGTGTATTTAAAACAAAGGCCTATGGTAATAGTAAACAGTATTAGTAATTCAAGGACATTTACATTACAATTGACATTACACGTCACAGGAAAACATAATAAACATATACCTGTGCAAATGAGTAGGTACTCAGTATGGTAGTAGTCAATTACTATCCGGAACTTATAAGGAAAAATCGGTGGCCCTTGTGGTTAGGACATTATCAAGTTGTCATCATATGGATATATTTATCTGCTATAGTTCATAACTGAAAGTTATAATTGATTTATATATACATTGTAATTATAATAGTAGTTTTCTTTACAGAATGTCAAGAAGGAGGATGTGAAAGAAGAAAATGTGTCCACCAATGGTTCGTCACCTGTAAAATCAGAAAACGGAAAGACGGGCAGTTCCGTAGTTAGCTGGCTCTCGGACGTCCCGCTCAAGACCGAAACAAAGGACGAGAAGTCTGATAGTAGTTCCTCTGATTCGGAGGAGGGCGGCAGTTTCTCGACATTAAGGGAATTGCTAATACGCCCAGCCCCTGAAGGTGGAGACACCCAACCCAAGAAAAAACAGAAGAAGAGCAAAAACGACTTCTTAAGTGACGTCATCTCCAGTGTGGTGGATGAGAAGAAAGATGAAGATGAGGAAGTGAAACCGTTCGCACTCTCAAATGTGGTGAAGCGGTATGACAGAAGCGGGCGTAGTAGGGAGGAGTTGCCAGTGCGAATCATGACGCTCACAGAGTCCAAACTTCTGTACCCTGACGTGCCACATGCCTGGCTCTGCGACGGTCGCCTCCTACATCTAACTGATCCCGTTCATCCTGGAAACTATAAACCGTTCCAGGTAAATATGATATTAATTTTAAAAAACTTTCTAGAATTTACATTATTTTTTTATGATATAACATACCTAACAGGGTATTGGTATTGGACAAATTAGTGAAATTTATTTTATTTTTAAAAATAGTAGTTATTGTTATATGTAACTTACAGAATATTAGTTATTAATAAGTAATTGTTTTTTGTTTTAGGACCAGTGGAAACGTGGTCAGCCTGTTCTAGTCTCAGACGTGTCGACCCTGCTCGACAAAAATCTATGGAGTCCAGAGAGCTTCTCCCGTGACTTCGCTGAAACTCGAGTGGATTTAGTCAATTGTGCATCTGGTTTAGTAGTACCGAATCAGCCAGCCAGAAAGTTCTGGGATGGATTTGAACTAGTCACTAAGAGACTTCGAGATGAACGTGGTGCTCCAATGGTGCTCAAATTGAAAGACTGGCCACCCGGCGAGGACTTCGCCGAACTTCTTCCGGCGCGATTCGACGATCTTATGCGGGCGTTGCCCCTCAGTGAATATACATCACGCAATGGAAAATTGAACTTAGCCGCCCGTCTACCGGAATGCTTCGTCCGCCCAGATTTAGGCCCCAAGATGTACACGGCTTACGGAGGCGCCGGTGGTACAACCAATCTACATTTAGACGTCAGCGATGCGGTTAATGTGATGGTCCACGCCAGCGCACCAGACGATGCTCAAGACCGCGCAAGAGAGGCCGCAAAGGCTGCAGAAGAGGCTGGCGTTGACGTGCTGGCACGGCGGAGAGCAAGAGTCAAGCCTCCAGCAGCGCTTTGGCACATATATGCGGCCAAGGACGCGGATAAAATCCGCGACTTCCTTGTCCACGCTGAGTTGGAGCGAGGTGCCAGACCGCGTCCACAACACGACCCGGTACACGATCAGACGTGGTACTTGGACGCGGCGTTGCGAGAACGGCTATACCGGGAGTACGGAGTCGAAGGCTACGCGATTCTTCAGTGTCCTGGAGATGCCGTTTTCGTACCTGCCGGAGCCCCACATCAGGTTCGAAACCTTTTGGACTGTATCAAAGTCGCTGAGGATTTCGTATCGCCGGAGAACGTGTCGCGATGTTTTGAGCTCGCGCAGCAGTTCCGCAGGTTATCTCGCCAACACTCCAACAAAGAGGACAAGTTGCAGATAAAAAATATTGTGTACCACGCAGTTAAGGATTCCCTGTGCTGCTTAGAGGAAGCGCTCGCTGAAACCAAGTGAAGCCGAGTAGACCTTCCGCATTTGATCTCAACCTCGACGTAACATTAATTGCTAAGTTCCGCATTTAAACGTAAGATTGGGAGCGAGTGTGATATGCGCTGTGCGCCGTTTCGTGTATAAGATGCCATTTTTAAGCGTCCGAGTGGATTGTGTACCAGTTATATGTGTGTAAATGTACTCGAAATGTGATTTAGTCCGACGGTTAAAATCGGAGTATGTGCAATGTAAATTAGTCTGATTATGGTGATATCGTTGAGATGTGGATATGTTTTATGTTCCTTAATTGATACAAATAAACTCTTCTGGTTATTTACAGCTTAATTGTAGTTATAGTGATATGTATGTATTGTGTAAATTTTTAATTCGAATTCCATCGAGTACATATAAGAAGTGTATACCTTTAAGTTATTGTATTGAAGTAAAACGTATTCGCTCGAAGCATTGTACATTAAATACGGCGTGTAGATAAGTTTCTCCTATAATTAATTTCTCAATTTGGTTAGAATGTTACAAAATGATAGTTAAAGTATGTGACAATTTAATTTTGTCCTTATTGCTGTATTAGAAGAAAGCAAGTTTTTTTTGTACTGTGTATATTATGTATGGTTATAAGTTGGAATAAAAAAAAGATGTTTATATTACAAGTGGTTTCTTTTTAGCCTATACCCAATACATATTATTTACACTAAGCTAAATATAATACATATGAAAGGAAGAGAAATACCCAATACGAACTTAAAAATTATCCGTTATGAAAGTAGAATTTGGTGAATCTATATATGTATTATAAAACGCATCAAATTCCATTAGATATATAGTTACCACCAATAGAAGTATACCATTAGTAATGACACAACTTACTAAATGATGTACCTATTGACATATAGACAATGCAGGTAATACATTGAATATTCTATTTTACCAGAAAATTGTACCACTATTTTCATTACGAACATACTAGTAGCGCCATCTTACGACTGCACTAGATAATACAATGAGAACGTTTGAAATGTCAAATACCAAATAATAAAGATAGTTTTACTACTCAACGACAGATGTCGCTGAATGTGGTGCTTCTTTATAGAGTACAAAGAATTTGCCTATTTTGGGCTTTATCGCTCTTTACTTTACTTACTCGAATAGACGAAAATTAACAGAAATTCCAAGTGTTTTTTTTTGTTTCAAATCAGATAAGCACGAAGCTAAGTACTTTGGTAAAATTTGTCATTAGAATTGATAGTAAAAAGATTTCAACAATCCTATATTGTATAGGTTTTTTCATACCTGATGATGGTAAAAGTGGTATACCTACTAGTACAGAAAATTTACATTAATGATGAAGAAAATTCATGCACACATAAATTCTGTCGTTGTTACCTATTTTCAGACATAGTACCTACTCTGACTTTGATACCGCGAACTCAGTAGTAGACTATGTCGTTGATGTTACTTGTCTTTGATTGATGACAGAGAACCAGAATATATATACTGTCATACAGTACGTGGGTGTTGGTGGGTAATCCTATTCCTACATTATGGTTACTAAAATACCTATTTACTTTGTCAATATATGTGAATTTTATATAGGAACTGCACAGCGGAGTACAGTCGAAGTGAAGTAAATTCTATCGTAACTAATTTATTTCGTACCAATACTTGACATTCAAATTGTGCAGTTGCGACATCTACCTATTTAAGTCCATAACTGTGCACGTCTATTGGAAAGTTAATTTGGCGTGTCAATTTGTCTGATTTATCCCGTTAGTTAATTATGTAGGTATAACTAACGGAACAATGTAATAGATTGCACTGGAAGTTTAGAACATGCATTTAAATGAAATGAAATGAAAACTCTTTAAAGTTCATAGAAAAAAAATACACTGCTATGTATAGACATATTTATTTGTTTAAATAATTATTGTATTGTTTAAACATGTAATAAAGAGCAAAAAAGGTGACATTGGAACGCCTTTTGATAATTAAATTAATGCAACCCCTAAAAGTAGATTGTTTAAAACCAGTTACTGTTTTTGTTTGTACGTTTAAGTAGGTGTTTTTAGTTTGTATACATACTAAGTTTTTTCATAATATTTTTTCCAAATAATGATCTTGTATATGTAAGTTGAATAACAAATTTTAAAAAATTCATGCACCTAAGTGAGCAATTTATACTTTTACAAATCTTATGTCACATATTTATAACACTTAATAATTATAATAATTTCTCTGAAAAATAGAATAAATTAATAATTTTTAAATTCGACATTAAACTATTCTTTTACCTCTCTTACTTTATCTAGTTATTACCTCATTGTTACCAATGTTCCAAATCAGATTGATCTCCATGCGGATCCCTCTGGAAACCATGCTGATGAATTCCGGGTGAATTTTTCACGATGAGCTTACCGACCCGACCACATACTCACCTTGTCAACCTCCACTGGTGCCCTGCAGGCGGATACACCATTCCAAAAATATTAATAAAAAAAATGACTAGTTATAATCATTGTATTATGTATTTATGTAGTTAATGTAATAAGAGCGACTTTTATCATTTTCCACTTCGTAGGTATGCAGTTAATTTGTTTGTGATTCCCAGTCGTAAAAAATTATTATTATGCTAATAATCATTAGCAAAGCAATATTATTATTGGTTTTGTGTACAGTTCCAATTATTTCATAACAGGATACTCTAATAGTAATATCGTAAAAATGTTTAATATGGTAATTGCTGTCAGATAACTCTGACAGCATTTTAACCATACTCATATTTACCAACTCCAATGTATTATGAAACATGCAAAACAGAGCTGTAACGATTTGATTTCGATCTACTCAGCAACAAGTAAATTATTCCTGTTGATGTTCTCGAAAATAAACTCTGTGACCTGCAGATGATATCTTATCGACGTTCGATTTATATCTATCACCATTGCTGTTATTCTCATAATATAGACATGTACGACCGTAAGGTACCCGGCAATGAAATTTGTTTACAGCTTCGCAGCAGTGTCTTCGTGGACCAGTGACCACTTTTTGTTGCCTCCCCACTACTCTGTTATAAAGGGGATCTGTGCTTATACTGATGCCAGTTTGCAATCTGTAAGGTGATCGTGCACAGTGCAATAACAATAAAATGAAGGCGGCTGTCGTGCTTGTTTTAGGTGAGTTTTTTCCTCATTTTTCTTTATTTTTACCTGTAGTTAAAGCACTATAAATACCATCGGTTAATGTTTACTAATGACGTTACCTCACCTAGGCTAGGTATAGTCATGTCTATTAATTATGTAAACATATATGTGCCTCGTCATGTTGGCCGTATCTTTAAATGACTCTAAAAGGAAGAAATCTCGACAATATTGTTGTATGTACCTTTGTCAGTTAAGACTGATTTTGATGATTAATTTTACTTACAAGGTCCAAAATATACCTACTGATTCTTGTATAGTATGTCCAAGATATTTGAAAATGTCACTAATGTTGTAGTGCCAAAATTTTAAAGTACCTACCTATATCAATTCTAACAATAAATAGGCAATAAATAATAAAAAGGCACTAGGCCTTGTTTTATAATTGGAAAATATATTACGATCTAATATATAAGAAGCTGACTATATCCATTAATACTTGACTAAATACAGAATGTACTAGCCGTTACCGGCGACATCGCCCGTGTGGACTATAACTTTTTTATTAAAATGAATACAATATCTAAAATAAAAGTAGCCTGAGCTACTCCTTATAATATTAGCTATTTGCGAGTGAAAGTTCCATCAAATTCAGTCCTGACGTTTAGAGATTAGTAAGAATAAACAAATTTTTTTTTTATATTGCAATGACCGTATTTCTTTTTAGCTGCTATTAGTAAAAAGCTGATTATTAGTAATTTGAAATTATAAGCAAATACCTCAATTTTATTTATATGTATGTATAATAAGTAATACCAAAAGTTAAATTAAAGATGCAAAAGTTAAATGCTCTAAAAGAAATACGAGAATTAGAACCAGTTAGCACAGATAATTAATGTGTATAAAAAGGCAAAAAAAGTAAATGTACCTGTCAAATATTTTAATAACGGTAGATACCTATCTATTAAAAAATTAATTTGCTTCTTATACTCTATTAATAAAATTTTTGTTGTTTCAAATTCCGACTTATCCGTATAAAAATTAATTTCAATATGAAATGATGAAATAAATTTAAAGAAACATTAACATTACCTATTGTTTTTGTCACAGTAAACCACTTCCTTTGCACTCGTTCTATGTAGTAGGTTTGTAACTGAATACATTTTTAGTAATAACTAAATATTATATAAGTTACCATCGTAGAGATGGTGACTTATATAATATTTAGTTATATTTTTTTATAGTTCTTGCTATATTTTTTTATCTTATAACTATAATTGTTAATGTGAACAAAAAATACACGCCTCCACGCGTGTCTTTTTTGTTCCCATTCGCAAAGAGGAAAATACAGTATTTTCTGGTCAATCTTTGTATATTGCAACCGGTGACAAAAATATGATTTCTTTTATGTAAAGGCAAATAAGTTGACCGCCCACCTGATAGTAAGGCGTCGCCTATATCCTGGAATAGCAACACGTACATCACGTTATTATATGACACCTGCAATACCACTTATGGGGGAGAAAGGAGATTGTTAGTAATGTGGATTGATTATCTTATTGCTAGCAATGTACCATGTCAGGTTGACCTCCACACGGTTCCCCCTGGAAACCATCGTCATAAATTCTTGGTGAATTTGTTACGATGGGCTAACTGACCTGACCTCATGTACATCTTATCATCCTCCACTGGTACCCCGCCAGCATAAACCGTTAGCGCAGGCGGAAGCACCGTTCCATTTACAACAAAAAAAAATATCACTTATGTGTTGCCATTCTAGAGTTTTAAAAAGCCATCCTCTAATTTATGTTAAATAACAATTTAATATAGCAGCAGTGATTGGACTGCCATAGAAGAAGGATCTATCGTATTTTTGTCACTTTGATGTCTTGGTGAAGAATTTCATACTGAGACTTACTTCCTTTGCATCAACGTTGGTACCATCTTTTCTTACGTCACCCTAGGGTTTTTATTTCATGTTTTTATGACTTCTGACACAGTTTGTTACTCCTAACTGCATTGAGAATTCATATTTTTTACTTATATATAAATCATGAACGACTGCATTGTAGATTTGCTCTCGGTTATTAACCTTATCTTTTACCGCTTGAAAAACGTAGATACCTACCAGTTTTTGGAACTAACTCATTTCACGCATTAAATTGTACACAAGCATTAAATGACAAATAACCAGTTAATGTTAGCTCAAAGTGACTCTCTTCCTGCCATTATCCGACTATTTTACGACCATATTTCCTTAAGGTCAGCCATGATTGCGTCGGGTGAGTAAGTATAATAATCGAGTGCTCTTTATTATATGATGAGGCTTAAATTGTTTATGTACCTACAGTTTTCCGCAGGTTTAAGTGACACAGGATAAGATGGATTATATTATTCTATAACTTAGCCTTCAGAATTCTGGTATGGCTATCTACCACAATATGTACTACCCTTCTCCCCTTATATGTATATTATGTAGTTATTAGTACCCATAACACAAGCTCTGCGTAGCCTGGGACTAGAACCATCTAGCTGTGTGAATTGTCTTAGGTTATAAGAAAATATGTCTGTAGTAACCTTTACCTATATGCATACAGATATAGGTAGAGGTTACCACTTACAATCGGCCTTGCTTGTTGTTATAATTACATAAAATTTTTTTTAAAACATTAGATAAATATATCAATTTCAGCGGTTCTTTTGGTGGCCGTGTCCTGTCGGCCTGACAAAACAGATCTGAAGCAGTTGAAGGCAGAAGCTGCACGTAAAAAAGCCTGCTTGCAGGATTGCACCAGTGTGAAGGTGGAGCCGCTGTGTGCTGGCAAAAATGGAGCTAAATCTCTGTCTTTCGGCAGCGAGTGTGTGCTCCATAATTACAACTGCGAAAATAAAGACAGTAAGTAACAAGATAAAGCTAATAATATGAAACAACATTACACAGATAACATAATAATAGACTGGACATTACTGACGATTCTGATAATAAATACTACAGAAGTAAGGACACTTACAGTATTTCATATTAAAATTTATTTTACTGTATAGGAGGACCAATCGATTTGCTAAATTTTTAGTTTTAGTGAAGCTTAATTTAAACACTTTTAAATAGTGATAGTCAAACTTCTGTTAATCTATACGTAATAGCTACGGGTTCTATCAGAAATCTAACAGGAAACTTTTTTATGAAGTTGTATTTTTTATATTTTGATATTTGCATTTGTCGCAAGTTCAAGATTTATAAGTATTACTACAAATGTAGACTTCGTAAAAAGTTGTCTGCGTGGGTCCCTATTTCAGCTGACATAGGGGCTTCTTGGGCTGTATTTCATTTGAAGGGTGAATAAGGTTCGAAGGTTGACGGCCTCGATGATCCGGCGGTTTATCACAACGCCTAACTTCCCATAATCGCAGATTCGATTGCACTGTACTGACATTTGTATTTAAGTGTAGGATTTGTATTGTCTAGGCGTTTTCTACGTATATTGGGTATGTACTCGTATTTAAAATATAAAATGATTTCATAAGTATTGCTTAACAACATTGCTTGAAAAACATAATTACTGCTTAATTTGGGACTTGGTGCTGTGTGATATGTCCTGTGATTTTATTATTTTTTATTATAAAGCAGTGATATTGCAGTATGTACGCAGTGGTGTTCATGTATAGGTGGTTACCAGTCACCATCAGATAGGTCGTCACCTTATATGCCATGCCACATTCTACTGAAAATTAAACATTAAAGTATTCAGTTTTAATCAAAATTGGCTTTATTTAGAAATAATTCTGAACTGACGGTAGATTTGACATATCAAAAGAGATAGACCTACATGAATAAAGATATTTTGAGTTTGAATTTGATTTTGTACATAATACCAAATAGAATATACCCTAATATTGTAAAGTTAAACCGGATATAATAATGGATAAACCATGGCGGCGTTGGATGGCGTGAAGTGTGACGTAACCCGTGGTAATTGCAAACAGAGCCATTGTATTACGCCTGCAGCCGGATAGTGATTCAGATACGCTAATTCATTGTTTTTTCCCAGCGTATATATTTGTACAAATAGGACGTTATGTAATTATGGATGTTCTTTAGTCAATAGATGAATACATATATACGATTATCATTATTCATCCCATCAATTTAGTGCATGATCCGGAATCTAATTGCTTTAGGATAGTAATTTAACACGTAGTCCACAAGTATTTTAACATCAGAAGAACTTTTAAAATCATCAAAATACCGGGTTACGTTTAGTTTCGTTGTAAAATAAATATAAAATTATATATTTTTATACAAATCAACTAATAGTGAAAAGTAACCACTCCTTTCATAGGTGGTTAACTTTTTTGACCAACTGTTAATAAACATTGTCGTTTTTGTTTTGCAGGTTTCACAAAGGTCAGCAACGGCCAGTGTCCAGGGTCCGATGGTATCCGTCTCTCCTAATTGAATGAAAGCTTTGACACGATTTACTAACTTTACTTTTTTTCTTCTTTGATATTTATTATTTTTATATTAATTAATGTTTATTAAATTATCTGGAAATACTGACACGATCACATAGGTATATTTTTTTATCCTGATATGCAACAATAAATACTGTGTAGTTTCACTAATGTCTAAATTTAAAAGAGATGATTTTGTTTATTATAGATAAGTTTTAATAATGTAATCGAGAAGATGAAACTCGTTTATATAAAACCCACTTTTCAAAGAAGCTGTGATTTTTAATTTAAATATAATATGTTATCTTACATTACATTCAAATTGCAATGTGTTAATATGTTTTTGTTCAGTTTAAATATTTAATTAAATTCGTTTATATATTAAGATTTATTTTGATTGTTTACCTAGTTATATAATTCCATTGAAAGTCGATGAACGAATTAGACGAGTACTAGAACGTACCTACCTCTTGATATATAATGTTATATGTTGTCGCAAAGTAACGTCATAAAAACAATACTTCACTAATATTTCCACTTAGTGGCTCACAAAATAATTTCTTATTGTTATATTATATAGTAGAAGTCACTAAAATCTATTATTTTTTTAATATACTACGATGGTAATCAATCTGTACGCAATCAACCATACGATCTATCTGATGGTATATAGTTACTGTACCCTGAAAGACCAGAGGCGTCACGTTGCCGAAGCTTTAAAAAACGAATACAGTACTATACACTTCTTGAAAGACCCCATATTGTGGATGCTATTTATATTGTTTTCCATGAAGACTTCTGCGTGGTTGTCTGTGCTGCACTTAAAAGTGTATACGAACTATACAAAATATAGGTCACTATGGCAATTTCATTCTCTATACTAAAACTCAGTTGTGTAAAACTACTAAGAGTATTAACAAAATTAAACTCAGGTTTTACATATTATAAAACAGTTAGTAGCTATTATAAATTTTAGTGTAAATGTTCCCCGTACTATGTAGTAACCACTTAATTTATTTACTAGTATCTACTAATTAATTATAATTACAATTAGCGTATTGTATTTAAATGTTCTAAAAATATGTCACAAATCTTGATAAAATATTTGTTTATTCTATTTATAAATACTTAGTGTTTGTGTCCACACGTAAATTATTTCCAAAGTATGTTAATTAAGCGTAGGTACTTTAATATTTAGTATGTTTGCTCAATTGCGCTAACTTTGGACAATTTAGGCTTGTGATGGTATTTATTAGTAGATTACAGTCAAAATCCCTTACGTTATAGATGTTTGTAATCTCTTAATAATGTTCTAAATGTTATTTGCATGTGTAGAATGGTAGTAACTAAGTATTAGCTCTCTTGCATATGCTGGACCCAGCTCCCATACGGTGAATCTGAGGAATGCTAAAAAGTTCGTCTCACAATACCACCGGGCCATTTTATGCACCAGTGGGGAATTATAGGATCGGGTTGGTATAGAGTCACTTTAGCTTAAGTTCACTTGAAACTTGGTCATCTGAGTGTGCATAGTACTCTTAGTGAGTGAATGAGTTACTCATTTAACCACCAGGATTGTCAAGTTACTAAGCACTGGGCCTGAACTGACTATCTCCTTTACTCACTATCCCCAAAGTTTCTGAAGTGGTCAGGTATCTCGCGAATAAATAAGTACATCTACAATGTTTATCGAATCTTTATTTTATTTATTTGCCTTTAAATGCTAATATGGGTTAGAATTCCGACACTTTCTGTTCATTTAACAAAGAAATTATTTTCGTACTTTGTACAATAAATAAAAACTATAAATTACGCTGTAATCAACTTAAATGTAGGTACTAGGGACATATTTTGTTATAGGTACACATGACCTTAGTATTGTTATAATTTCAACAAATTTACATGCATTCAATGTTCTTAAAAATAAATTTCCGAATAATAATCAAAGAACATAATTTATTCAATTTTCTATAGTATAAAAATTAATTTAGAATTTTAGGAACTCTTTGACCAAAGTCTTATTATAAACTAAATAAAGTTTTTTTTTAATTTGATACAAATTGCGTTGTTTTCTCAACAACCTACTATCGTTGGCTTAAGATACACGCTAATAATATTTAGTCATAATCATAACAATATAGATATAAGTTACCTTTACATTAAATAATCGTAATTCATACGATATTTAGAATTTTCCAAAAAATATTTATTTTTGGAACGTTTGTATTTTTTTTCAAGTGGTCACATAGGTAATGCTGCAAATATTTCTATCAACCACATGATGAATTTAAATTAAGGTCTATCCGTATATTTTAGTATCGCGAATTATTATTCCACGTCTTTATATTATGAGCTATATAGAAACTTTCCTGAAAACTGCGCAAAAATATACTTACCTAGACATAGATATAGTATAATAATGAAATTGCGCAATAAAATTTCTGTAGCGTGGACCCTTAAAACCTACGCCTAATACTGGCAATTACAACATCATTGTCTAATGTTGGTTCAATATTTTGCTTTTTACACGTGTGGAATAAATCCCTATAAAAGTTAATATTATGATTACTCTAGGAGTATAAATTCATTATTTCTACACATCAACTCGAGAATTCTAGTGAACCATATATATTATCGGTTACTCCCGCTGTGAATTTATATGGTCTAGGCTAGATTTTGTAAAAACATATCAAGTGAGTTCTAAACAATTGATGTATAGATAGAATAAATTCGAGCGGTATATAATATACTAAATAGACTTATACTAAATTTAAAATTAATACATAATGTCTGCGGTCAACATTCACCCAGGTTCGTGATCGCGTAATCTGAAACAAAAATCAAAAATATATCAATATTTTTATGTAACGAAAAATCCTTCATTTTTTTAAACAAACAACGTTTTCTTTTTAATCAATTATTTTAAATTTTTTGGCTATCGTTTTAGTTCATGGCACTAATAGTTATCATAATTTGAAGACGTTATATCCTATAGTTTATGGTGTGGGTATAGGGACAGATTACTAACATGTACTCTCGCGACACGACGCAGCTTCCAGTTCACATATTGTTGCAAACGTCCTAGCAGTGCCTGTCGCATCGAAGGCACATACAGGTCCTGCGGCTGGAGCCACACACCTGCCCGCGCACAGTGGGGGTGGTACACCTTCTCTCATCATCTCCACTGGTATCCGCACCTCCGGTACTGAAGCTATTTCTATTTCGTTATCTTCTCCTATAAGGGCAGGCAGCACTGGTAGACTGGCCGACTCGCGCCACGCTGAAATAAATCACGCTCAGATTGTATATTTTGTTTTTAATGTTTAGGATTGCGATGATTAGATCATCATCGAGATAAAAACTGAATGTTGGTTGGTTTAAATCAATTACAACTTGGTTTTGTTGACTTTCATTTTGCTTGGAATTTTAAAAAGTCATAAAATTTTCATTTCTTCATTATCTGAAATAGTTAATTTGGCTAACTTAGAAAATATAATACTGGTAGACAAATACAAATGTAATTAAATTAATTCGACATATAAATTATATTCAAACATTCTTTGGTGACGGAATAGGAAGTAAATAGTTAAAATAGTCCTAAAAATATAATAATAACACATCTAAAAATAAACAATTAACTCCAGAAAACCTGGAGAATCTGTAGTTAAGCCTCTATTAATTGTCCTCCAGGTTTGCTGTGTATTCTCTCTCTCTAAGTAAAATAATATTAGTTATAGCCTCTAAAATATAAAATGAACTATGTAGTAGTGCACTCATAGAAGAGAAGAATTTAAGGATATTAAAAAAATATATATACATCTGACACGTCATATTATTCTATTAAGTTATATGCAGAAGATACAAGTTAAATGTAAGTAGACATTATTTACCAAATATATTATAGATACAGATTGTAGAAAATTAATGTCATCTTATTTCTTGGGTGACCTATTTACAAGTAATTTTTGGCTCTACATAAAGTACTATTACGTAGTTTGTCAAGGTTCAAAATATAACAACGGAATGTTTAAATTGTATATAACGCGTTAAGTTACCTGCATGTGCAATAAATTTCCTTGAAGTACAGGAGTTTATAAATAAACGCATGGTAAGCGTATGTTTATTTACAGTCACATAATTTCTTCTTTCACATTACTTCTCTTTAATAATGAATCTACATCTACATCATGAGCCGACCTCCGAAAACAACATGCATTGCAAATCTTTACCTTTTAGAAGTAAATCGAAATAAATCTCAAGTTCTAAGTTAAATGTGTAGTTTTGGCAGTAATATATTTATTGTTGTGTTAGATAGAGACTTAATTAACAATGGGATATATTTAGAAAATACAAATTCTTGAATAGAAGTGACGGCAATTTGTACTGACTTAAATTACAATTAAAATATATTTACGTATAAAGAATTGTGGCTATTAAATTTAATACATAGCAAATGGAAATGCAATCATTCTACTATTATTTGATATATGCGAATCTTTAAACACACGGCTGGCACTTTCGCCTGATAAATATAGAGTAGATAATTAAAGGGGACATAAACGTAGCTTAATTGTTTCTTGTTTTATTCCATTATTGTTTTGACGAGGCCATGATTGTTGTGACATTTTACCCGACCTCACTTAATCTAATCAGTATTATTTATTTTCCTAAAATTTTCCTGTGTGATCTCATCCTCATTGCGCATTTGTACCGCTCTATATTATCATTCGTTTGCTTTGTAAACAAATAATTGCACACGCCCCTTTATATTGATTCATAACAAATTATACTAACACATCTATGTATCACAATATTATAAGGAGAAAGTGTCTCTACCTATTCAACCTTGTTGTATAGGTAAACTGCATTATCTGGACAACAACTATTTTATTGATAATGTGACGGTATATACGAAAAAAAAAAACACCCACAACCTCTTTCATTGTTAAATAGAAAAAAAGTAAGGATAGGGTATTTGTGTCTGCTTTAAAAAGGAAAGATTATTATATCTGCTCCAATATCCGATTTAAATTTCTTGAAACAATGCTCGCCTCCAAGTTATTCAAACCAGTTCTGAGATGAGTTCATCTTGTAAATAAAAATAGCTCACAGTCGTTCACCACTCCACTCTCACACGCCATTTTTAACAAATTTTTCTTGCACATTTTAGCGAAATGCGAAATGCCTGAAATTCAGTTCAGACACACACCTGAGACATGGCATACTGAACCTTAGCACCCTAGGTTATCAGTTCAGACACGAGTTGTCTCTAATGTCAAGTTAGACGATCAAGTACGTATTTATTTATGTCGTAAACACCTGATATCTAAAAAAATTACCTCGCCATGGTTCTGTTTTCATCCAAAACACTCATCAATTTTATTCTACAAAATGGCGACTTCGCCCTTTCTCATTCGGAATTATAAATAAAAGTTTCATAAATTTCACTAGACCTCCGGTCCGACCAAATTGATTAGTGGGCTCGTCTGTACATATATTTCTTCTTTATGTTGTTTTTAATATAAAAAGCAATTTCTTCCGAAAATCAATAACACTTTTTTGTTCCATAATAATATAAATAATTGTCAATAACACTTTTAAGTACTGAACTAACACTAAACCTAACTGTCAACTCGTAATTTTGTCAAATTAATTAATGTTTAAACCTCTATCACCATGTCTACTACGATATCTGGTTATAATTGTGAAGTTATTTACATAAAAAGAAAAAACACAAACACCATATGTATTGAAAAGGTCTTTATATTAAAATAGCAGAAACAATAAGTTAATAACAACAATAACACCACACGCAATGTAACCGTTACAAAAATAACAGCGAATGTAATACGTAGTATTCAAATCGCCGATAGAAATATTTCACTGCAACTTGTATAAAAGTCCGTTGCATAGTTAAGAAGCGACAATATTTTCATATCTAATGTAAAAAAAACTGAACTTTCTCCTTGCTATAAAGGTATATTTAAAAAGATAAAAAAAAATTTGAAAGTACATTCCAAAACGCTGTCTTAATGTTATAAACAATCTCTTAATTATTAATAGCTTCAATGGCCGATTATTATTATAAGCGATAACAAAATTGTATCCAAGGCAATAATGTCATAATTCATGAATTATGACATTAATGCCATGTACCAATGTAGATCCCTATGTGGTGATGACATGCCAACCGTACGAGTATCTTCAATACGAAATTTTTAGCCTCTGGTACGAGGACATTTTCGGCCTCATATAAGTTTTTAGGAGATTTTGACCTACAAAAATCAGTCACAACGCTAAGATGTATGAGGTTAGAGAGCCAAATTGAGTTAATGTAAGAGATTTTATATTTATTATTTCTTAGTACAAGGATATGAGTTTTAAGGTGGAACAACCCGCGCCGTCGGCGTAGTGTATACTGCGCAGTAACCCCGTCCTAGCTGCATAACTATTACATTTTTTATCGGTCGCACGTCACTGTCGCCCTCATTTCCAGAAGCATAGTCCGATTTATATATCGGCACTTCCTCGGCTGATTCATCCCAGAACATATTGTATCATTTAGTTCCCACACTTGATAAATCAGTATATACTAATTTGACGGAACTGAGATAAACGGAATCAGTAGGTGGTGATAAATAAATTGACGATGATATTAAATTAATAAAATATATTAATTAGACTCTAATGAACTTAATGCATTTTAGTATAATAGCCGGATTATCATTAATTTACAGTTGTATTTTTTTGAACTATTGTAAAATGCAAACAAGCTAAAAAACTGCTAGCTAGTCGTCTAACACAACAACAGTACTACGGTCATCGCGTAGTCATGTCCGCTATAGTACATGTAATGTAACCCATTGTTGAGGCATAAAGTGTTATGCATGAAATTACAACGTACGTAACTTGGTAATTTCATCAAATGGAGAGTATAGCGGTATTATGAGAAACTGACTTTATCACAGTGTTCTTCTTATTTATCAGTGTTATGGCAGATGGCTCACTCCTGCTATAGTTTTTCTTTGTCTGCACCTATTCCAGTTACGCGGGATCGAATTTTCTATTTCACGCGCCGTACACGTTTTGATTGTTACTAGACAGGTACTATCTCCATCGTATCCCTAGTTTTCATGAGCCAAGTAATCAATAACCTGCTTCAAGGGAGGTTCTTTGATCTTAGCGAAACATGTCCTACGTCAGTGTCTTCCTTCCTTCTTTAGCTTTAAGAAGTGAAATATGGCTTGCAAATGTTGCTTTCTCTATAAAGTTAACTATTAACGATATCAATGATTACCACATCCGGAACAATAAAGCTCATGTAGATATAACGTTGCATTGTTCTCTGTTAAAATATTTGTTATTATGAATTATAATAACAAATATTTTAACAGCTTCTTCTCAATCCTCTTCCGTATGACGATAATCAAATCAATATTTAATTACCTGAGTAATAAATAGGGCAATGTTTACCCTTTGACGTTGCATCCGTTCCAAGCAAATCAAATAAGTATTTATTTACTCATTACTGCGTTCTATTGTAGATATACTCGTAGTGATAAGTGGAATGGGGACATTTAATGTCGATGCCGTACCTATGCGATCCAAGAGTTGCCATTTTTTTTACGGCAAAAATATGAAACCTCTGTCTAGTTTAATAAAATTTGTTTACATATTTAATCTATTATACACATTGACACATATTAAATACATGTATCCAAAAGGCATTACATTGTTACTGTTATTTGTTTTTAATTTAATAAATATCTCGTATTAATCCAGATAATAATAAAGTTGAAATTGTTGTAGATGTCAAATACTCATTCGATAAGTGATTAATTTATGTTCAGTCAATTTAACAGTGAATTAAGTAAATGTAGTTGCGGAAATATTTAGGTGCATATAATTTTATTTTTCTATTCATAAAAAGAAACGTTTGCTAATATATATTAACTATTACTTTACTTATTAATTCTTTAGTTTGAACAACTTTATCTTTTCACATATTTTGATTATTTTGAAGAAAGTGTGTATATTTTATCTTTTTTTATTATTTGCACTTTTTTTCAGTAGTGTAAATTGTGATTTTCAGGGTTTCTATTTCATCGTTTATAACATATAGACGACGATTATGACTATTATTATTCTATTAAATACTAGCTAGTCAGTTAGTGGCTTGTTATACAAATTTTCAGTGAAATTTAAAAGCCCAAAATTTTGACTCTATTAGTAAATTTTAGTATATAACACATTAGTGTAGTAATATGGACTTCGTATTCTTACATTATCGATCTGTCGTCAGTATGTCTGTGGAATCGAGTGTTTAGATCTAATTATACACGTGCTTCGCCCTACGTACCGCGAGTGCTAGATCGGCCTTATTGGACCGCGTCTGCAGTGGGCGTGCGCGCGATAACCCTCGGATCAAGACGCCAAACGGTCTAACGGGCAGTACAGATGGTCTGCAGCTGTTTTCTTTGTTTTCATACTTATTTATGGCTATTTATTATATCGTAAACCCATAGATATGAAGTTTAGTTATAGCAAATGAATTTACAATAATTTTGAGAGTTAATTTACGCCTACTTGGCTCTAAATAAAGAATTATTTGAGATCTAATTGCATCATCATGTGATGTCTGTAAACAGAAATAATAAAATAGAATAAAAATCTACTCATCTTTTAAGACGGTTAAATACAGTTACTTTTGTGTGACAAAATCAAATCAAATAAAAAATAATTTATTCATGTAGGACAATTTTGCCACATATAAACGTTAAAATATTACCTTAGATCGTAATAAAATATTAATTAAAAATTAACTGTGTAAGCAATATATACTACGTACTAGTAGATACTTGGCTTTACTCCTGATACACTATCATATATTTTTTTACAATCTACGTCGCATGTTATATTAAAGTTAGTGCTGCTTCACCAGTGGAAGATAACGGGATGAGCACGGAATTACTTCAGTTAACCCCATTGTGCCGAATGGCTCAGGAGTCATGATGGTTTTTATTGGGACCGCGTGTAGGCCCACCTAATATGATATATTGATAGCAATAGGACCCCAATACAAACAACCCCATTCTTCTGTATTTTCACGTCAGGTCTCAAAATTGGACAATTTAACTTAAAGGCACTGTTTTCAGGTAGTATTTTTTAACCATTTACCTATGTTTATTAGCATTTAAAGCGTAATATATACGTATATAGTACAAGATGAAAATATTAGCATCAAAACACAGGACTCATCCTTAATGTTAGTGATAGGATAAAAACTTGTCGCCACAACAAAAGCGGCAGAAATACATAAAAAAAGTAATAGAATACAGAAAAAAGTAAGTTTCTGTCTGTCTGATTCTTCAGTAACTTCTAAACTACAGTTCGAAATCGAGGTGGTTTGCTATTTTATAATATACTGATGTAATCTTTGCTGTACACAAAATTAAATAACGAAAGAATTTAGTAAAGAAATATATACCATGATGTCATAAAATAACTACAGAACAAAGAGTCATCTGAATTAATAAACCTTAATTATATCCGATTGTTAATGATATACACAAATTACTAAATTAAGATTATTATTTAAATTACTTGATTAGTACACTTGTATAATAAATAATGTATATAATGTAATTGTAAACTATCCCAGTCTATTACTACTTAAGATCGCAAATAAAAGTTATAATCTAATATTAATCCAATAACCATGCGTAAGTACGCATGGTTATTAGATTAACTTATAAGCTAATGTATACATATAATTAGCACTAAAACTCACCAACAACTAATACAAAGCACAAAAAGATCTTCCCGCTTAACATTTCCATGTAATTGCGTCCAAATTTTATTTGTTCACAGTCTTTATCACTCACAAATATTTATTTTATTTTTAAAACAACTTGATACTCTTTTATTCTAGTGTTCGATATTTAAAATCTAAGAACAAGGCCAGTTAAGAATTATTAAAAAATAATTTATTTATAATCGATGTCGATGGTCCTATGCTTATCGTTTTACTGGTGCATCATATACGTTTGTAGCGTTTCCAGGATGGTGGGAAGGGGGGCTGGTCGTGTGGCCATGTAGTGGTGGTAGCGATAACCTCTGCCTCGGCCGGAGGACGAGTAAGTGATAACAAGAGCGACTTTCAAACGAGAGCGGGCATTCTTTCGTTTCACTGTTCACCGACTTTTATTCTTTTTAAATGCTCTCTGAATGCGACGTTTCAATACGTCGCATTCAGATTTATTACAAGCGTAAAACGTATTTTATATTTTATAGCTACAAATAGTTATATTTATTATTATTTTTTGGTATTTCTATATATTGATAAAGTAAAATTAACTTGGTCAAGCCACAAATATCTTTTGTAGGAAACACCATGACGGCTAATCTGATATGAACATCACCACGGAAACGCGTTATTATATCTTGCCCGTAGTACGTAGTACTAATAAATTTTCTCACTTTTAGTTCTTTTGATAAAATATTAGCGATATTTAATCGAAAGAACTAAAAGTGTATTTATTCATTTATTTGAATTTCAATTTACATATATACGTAGATATGTACATGAATATGAGTTTTATATTTCAATGGTAGTATACTAATGTTACAATGCTACATATAGTATACTAACAGTCACACATCAATTAGCTATTATTGCTGTGGCATTAGTTTTATTCCCACTATATGAGCCAACAAGTGTTATAGAAATGACGTAAGGTCACAAACAACGAGAACCTTTACCAACTAACCATTAAATGCAAGGTATTGTAATGTTTAGATAAATTGATCATTAGTATACAAAGCAAATGAATAAAAACAGATAAACTAGGAAAATCTAATTGCACGTAGTACAATCATGTCACATGTGTATAATTAATTAGGTATAGGAATATTCAGTTTATACCAATTATTATAACACTGATCTACCGTATGAGCAATCCAAGGCAGTATAGTAATTTGAAAAAAAAATAAAGATTTTGGATTTATAATGAATATTCGTAATAACGGAAAAAATACCTTTTTATTTACTATAATAATACAAGTAGTGTAGAGTAAACCGAGTGAAAATGTAAATAAAATGGTGGTAGTGGTAAATATTAGAGGCAAAATTTCGATGCTACTGTGCTTGGATGAGATGAGAGTCTCCGGAAGGTCTCTAAATAAAGATAGAACGAATACTGAAGCATGTGCAGGTAGGTAAGTATTAAGGTAATATCGTAATTTTATTGCATGGACAGTCTTCTCTTGACCTCCGGTATGATAGCGCATGAGTAATCTTCCTACAGGTCACATCTGATGATGGGATGTCCGTAGGGTACCTATTATTAGGCGACGTTTACCAGTTAGTGTCAAGCGGCCCGTTTGTTGACTAAGGAAGCTTCCTTGCTTCTGACCACAGCTTGGCTGGCTTACAGCCTAATCTCTGCATGTACAATGAGACGTTAATTACACATAATAAAGCTCACTTTGCAGTAAATAGACGATGAGTGGAGTACAAAGTTAGTGTAAAATTATTTCATCTGGTTATAAATTTGGTAGCGACTTCTGCTTTCTTCATTATAAGGTAGTCTATACGTTAGTACAAAGGATTTTATTATGAATACATACTTCTAGAAATTGTTTCGACTGAATATCACACAGTCAATTATAATACAAGAAACTTAAATTATTATAAAATTATATTTAGTTCTAAGATTACATAAATAAATAATAAATGGTCTTATCGTCGTCACGTTGTGGTAGGCGTGGATTGAATCTATTCCAATACTCCCATATCTATTGTAGAAACAACAACCGACGTCATATTTTTGTAAGTTATCAGTTTCTGATCCCCCGTTTATATTTATAATTTATTTTGTCTTTATCATTAATTTCAAAACTATCAAATAACGAATGGTACTCTTTTTTAGACATACAGTTTTCTATGTGCACTTTTATGTTTTTATTATAATTGTACATCGGCAGATGGCAGTTGGGGCAGTAAAGTCCTCAAGTGGCGATCGCGGACTGGAAATCGCTGCGTGGGAAGGCATCCCGTTAGGTGGACAGACCATCTGATCAAGATCGTTGGAAGGCATTGGATGCGAGCAGCGCAGGACCGATCGTCGTGGAGATTTTTGGGGAAGGCCTTTGTTCAGCAGTGGATGTCTTCCGGGCTGAAAAGACGGTGATGAATGAATGAAGACAATAAATTGAAATAGCATTAATCAAAATTGTTGCCAAAATTTTATTGAGCAAAAATTAAAATTAAGTAGTCTGGTCTTTGTGGATAGTATTTATTAAAACAAATATATAAATAAAATTGTAGACAATAAACCAATCATTAGAAACTAAAGGGGTCGAGTCAATTGTTTGCCAGCACTTGAACTTATTTTAATGAAACAATCTAATCGTGATTATATTAATAGTTACTTGTATCGTATGTATACGACATTTTTTACGCATTGGCATATATATTTCATAGATTGCTTATCATTGCATAAGGTTAGGTTATCATAGCATTGTGATTTCTTATTCACCTTTGACATCCTGTTTTGTGACACTCAAATACGTCAAATACGTATTTTGTTGGTTGTAATAATAATAATTAGTTATTATTATTACATTTCAAATGCTACGAGAAATGAAATCCCAGACGTCTGTTATTTTATCCTAAGAAACCCTATAATTTCTCAGACACACACGTATCCAGAAAATCCAAATTTTGACGAAAAAACGCGACTATATAATATTGCAGGTATATATATTTTTTACAAACAGATGAATAAAGAATCAATAAAGTATTTACGATTACTTCGAGTATTTATTTATCAGTAAATGCTATAAGGTTGTCATTTTGAGTTTACTAGCAATGGAGAACGCAGTATCGTTATAACGATAATGATAACATTATAGTGCATCTTGTGTGAGTAGACGGTGCATAATAATACGAACTAATATTTTAAAATCAAATGTAAATAATTTTTCTACACCTATAAGCACGTCTGGGTATAGTTACATAGTAAATATATTAATTAAATAAAGTAATATGTTTATTTTCTTTTTCTACATTTAAAAATATATTTTTTGCTGTAAAAGTAAGTAAATCTTAGTATATTACCGTACAATAGACACTGTGACACACCTTTCAAATGTATTAATGGCATAAAGATTTATTAAATATGTTGACTCTTAATTCAAATAAAAATAATGAGTTTTATAATTTTACAGTACTATATTTTGGACGTTTATTGCATTGAAATGGAGAAGTCGCTAACATTTATTGTTTTATTTGGCAAGTACACATTAATCTGGCTTAGTTTGTAGATTAAGAAAAATTAAGATACTTAATTGCTGCATTACATACTTATTATTATTTATTTATAGTTACTATTCAGAACACGCTGTTGGGATATAATGTAGGAAATAAACCTCAAGAATTAAAAGATAATTTAGTGTTCAGAGCGTAAGTTTACCTCTATTGTCTGTTTTGTTAAGTTATAGTTCCGAAATGTTATGTTATTAACATACATCGTTTCAGAATCATTTACGAATCGTATTTTTCAGTTGCATATCAAAACTAATAAAGAAATGTATACATGACTGTCCCATGACTTCGGAATATAATCCTGTTTGTGGATCTAATGGAAAGGTTTATTCAAACCCCGGGACTTTGATATGTGCGAGACATTGTGGCGTTGGTAAGTCAAATTTAGTTGTTTTTCTATAGATATGCCATGAATTTATTATTAAGTAAGCATTCGTTGAACAGGGATAGCTGTAACATTTGCTGATATTTACGCATTTAAAAACAATATTAACATAGAGTGAGAATGATAATATATGTTAATAGATATTACATACGCTATCTATCTCTATACAAAGTGAAAGCCAGTAGCGATCAAACACTTCCGTCTATCTCATGATAAATGGTCTCTTTGGGTTAAACGTGTATTGATGAGCCAAAGGCCTTTTTGAATAACCCCATCTCCTTTGAGTCGAAAAAATTTAACATATTTTCTACGAAATTATAGTACTATAAGTACTGGCGTGACAAAAATCATATTAACTAAGTACTATTATAGCTACATATATAGTTTAGTTCAATTTGTATTTTATAGATATCCACCGATTCTGAATTGATATCCATCGAAATATGAAGTATAGTTATATAAGTGTGAATCTTTGATATAATCGTCTTTAACATAATGTACTTTTCTTTTTCAGATGTTTATAAAACGGGACATGCGCCCTGTTATATACCAATTCAGAATTCATATCCTGAAGAAGACTCATATCTAAATTCGGTGCTGTGTCCTGATAGTGTGGATAACCCACCTCGGTCTTCAAACACGCCTCTGCTACTTCGCTTCTTAGGCCTAAAATCAACTCTCTAATTACTTACCCTTGTGACGTTATAAACAAAAAGTAAAAAGAAAATTTCCCAAATATAAGCCAGTAAGTTTATATTTATATTTTTTTATATATAATGCAATGCCAAACTATGGTAAGTGGCCATTGTCGCCTATACCTATACTATACATGAAAAGCGGTACGTAGGTACATCGGGTCAGCATATGAAGTCATTAATATTCCTCATTATTTGCCATAAATAATAAGGATAAGTTAATCTACGTAAAAACGACCAATTTGTAATAGTAGTACAGTAGTATTTATTTATTAATGACTTATAAGGTTGTTATAGTAGTCATTACATGATAACTTATAAATGCCTTTCAATTTACTATTAGAAAAAGTACTACACAATGCTTCCATAAAAACAAAATTTTTATTTTATTTTTCCTACATATATATGTATTTAAATTGTTATAATACTTAATAAGATATACTACTTTAGTCAGTAATACTATATTACCAATGTAATGTAAGAAAAGCAAAAGAAGACATTAAATATTGCTAATCTAATATTTGCCGTTGTTTATTATTAGGCGTTAGGCACTGTCCGAGCTGGAAAGAGAGTTGGGCTGTGCTTTCGGAGGATGGTCAATCTTTTACTTTTCTTTTGTCTCGTCATCCGTATCAAATAGCAAAGATAAGGCACCTCTAATTCTGCACGAATACTAATAAATTTCTTTGGTTTCCATTTAAATATGAGTATGGTCAATGTGAACAGTAGGTAAAGTTTTATTTTTATAGCGGTGACGGTACTATGATTGTTTTACTTATTATGTTTGCGCTTTTTCTTCGTAACCGGCACTATTATTAACCTCGGTAATTTACCTTACCTTACCTTTTAAATAAAAGCGTGTATTAAAATACGTGTAGGTAAAGAAATTAATGGTTATAATTATAGTAAAAGGACTATGTAGACTGGACCAAAAGTGTTTCTTATTTTGTTGTGGTAGCTTTAATTTTATGCAAGTCCGTTACAAATAAAAATAATAAATTATATTTAAACAAAATAATGGTAGCGGAATGGAGGCAACAAATAAGCTGTGCCCGCGGTTTCGCCCTCGTCAAATTTATAGCCTATATACTATATTATTCTATATATATGTAAGCTATATAACTGTAAAGTTTCATCAGAATCCGTTCAGTAGCTTTTGCGTGAAAGAGTAAGAGTAAAGTAAATCATCCATCCATGCTCAAAAACTTTCGCGTATAGGTAAGTAAAAAGACTAAATCAGTACCTACTAAGTTACCAGTTATTTTTAGTCTTTTGGTTTTTGTTTTAGAGTATTATAAGTAATATAAGTGCTAATGAAAATGTTTTGATATAATCAATAAATAATAAATAAAAGCGGATTATTTAGAAATATTTTTCGAGATGATGGATGAAATATTTTCATTAAAGTAATGTCAACTTAATACTTAGTAATATCACTATTATAGCTTTCCTTTCAGGCAGAAACATAGCTCATAAATACGTGCTTGAAATAGCGGGAAAATAGAAAAGAATGATTTTTAAGATCATATAGATATAGGTTTATTAAGCTTGACAAAAAATAAATTGATAGTAAAAAAAACTTGTAGTGTGATGTAAGTACAAACTTGCTTTGAAAACTTTTTTGAAATAAAAATCAATCAGAACCAATTATTATATTTTAATCTACACAAGTAGACCTCGCGACAAGCTTTTATATCATACAAATTATGTAATGACGGTTTAAGATGATAGTAAAAGTTTTAAAGGAAAAGTTTATTATATTCTTTATTGCGCTTTTAAATAAAAGCGTGTATTAAAAAAGTTATTTTACTTTTAATCTATTTTTTACTTTAGTTAATTCGCTTTCGTATTCTCAAGTTCTTTTATTTGATATAATAAGTCGTATCCGTCAAGTGGGAGTTGGCCTTCAGCAGCTCCGTATGTTTGGAGTTGGGTTTGGAGTGCCAATTGAACTCGCTTCCTATCGTCCGAGAAAGCTGTAAAGACCAGCTGTGGCCGAATAGCATTAGAGTAGTCTGAAAAAAAACCCATATGTAGGAAAGCATAAAAACTTAATCGTACAGTTTTAGCAGTCCGCCATATTGGATTCAAAGTGACGTCGATTTATTGTTACTCTCAACATGCCTTTTCTTTTGATACCCATATTCTGGGAGTGCATTAAAAATAACTCGTCCGCCATGTTGGATTTAGAATGACGTCACTAAGTGACGTCTGCTAAACATACATTGTCATCCAAATTAAAAGTGTATATCAAATTTCAATTTAAACGAGTTGGGAGTATCTAAAATAATATTTATTGGTTTCTAATAGGTAAGGGTTAATATTTAATGATTTATAAAGGTTTGAAAACTAACTGATCCAGTAGCAACATATGGTTTCTAAAGAAAACCGGTTAGATTAGCACAATATTATTATTGAATATATTACACGAAGGATCTTATCGGTCAAAAAAAGTTCGTCATCGGTTTTTTATAATAACGTCAAGTGTACAATTAATAAAAATTATATACCAGTTTTAAAAATTATGAATTGATTTAATATAACTGGATAATGACGTATGTTGAAATGAATAACACTATTCAGAGTGTTATTTATTTCAACATACGTCATTATTAGAAGGAAACTCGTTTTCGTTCATCCCGAGGATAAAAGATAGTGTTTGGGAATTTACGCACAGATGTGAGTAAGAAATATTCCATTCGATTAATAAAGTTTTTATCGATATATCGTAAATAATTATTATTAGGTTATTAGGTTATTTGAGATATTGCTAAATAAGAGCTTAATATTTTACATTATCAACTATTTTCTAAAAAAATATTTTATTCCACAAAAATCGACATCCAGTTGTATACTAAAATTAATTTCATAATAAAAAAATAAAAGAATGTTTATGCAGTCTGGAAGACCACCAAAATTACACGGTGACTCATTCATTAAAATATCGAAATTAAAAGAGACCGAGAGTCAGAGATTAATGAAATTTTGAATTAAATACCTTGTTTATTTGGGGAGATCCCTTTGTTGTTCGAGGACAATGAGTTCATGACTATTTAATACATTAATATTAAATTACCTATTCATTTTAAATAAATACGCACTATTCTTGTAATAACAGATAATTTCCTACGTTGTTTAACAGGAAAATAATGTTTATGACATAGAATGTGTGTTATGACAATTTAATACAACTATGTCATACCAGTAATTACCCACGACTTCATCTGGTTTTGGGAGACAAAAGATAGCCTATTCCGTCGTCTTGAAAGACGAAGTTCTGAAAGGTTATCACATAGACAGACTGACATGCCTGACATGACACAAACTTTCGCGTTTATAATGCAAATATTATAAAAACGTATTTATAAATAAATTCATACTGGATTTAAAGACATGTACAAAATGTTAATTGACTGTACTGCAACTTTACGCCGAGGTAGACTTTGTAAGAAGACGTTTGCGTGGGTACCTCAGTCTTATCTATTTCAGCCACCAAGATTTGAGATAAGCAGGTTAGAGAATAATCCATGACATTTTGTCTTCCGGAATAGCAACGCATTAATGGTGTGTCGAGCGTCACGTGATAACGTGATCTTCGTGATATCCGATATATAGGAGCCTGTATTCACTTAACATTAGGTTGGCCGTCAGCCATTTCATTACATAAGCATAAGTAAACCTTATTATATGACATGAATATCAAAACACATTTAAAATACTAAGTTTCGAAGATGGGTTGCGGAGTAGCACCCTATAAAAAATTAAATAACTTAATTTCCTCTCTGTTCAAATTGCTATCAAATACAAATAATAACTACATAGTATTAGACTATAATTAAAATTGCATTTTATGCAGCAATAGTTTCATACAGATATTATAAATGTGTAAATGTGTCTGTATGTCTGTCAATCAGTTTGTAACAAAATGTTTTTAGTATTAAAAACTGCTAAACAGACGTTTATAAAGGGAAAGATGTCAGCACAGGCAATTTTTTACCTCAAAAGCATTTCATTAGTGAAACTTATAATGATAGCCCTAATAGTATGTAGAGTAAGTGTTTAATAGAGTAGTTATGTAGAGGTTATTATATTGTTAAGTACATACATATAAGGTTACATATATATTCTACTATACTGTACAAAGTAGTCAAATACATTTATATAATAAATAAATAAATAATCTATATAAAACGACTACACCTATAGTAATACAGACAGATGACCAGTATTACTACTGTATACAAAGGTTTCTAGGGCATTGAACATGCAACCATGTTAAAGAGAGTTCAAAATATGTACAAAAATATTATGACATGTACAAAAAAAGGCGTTTTATTCAATTACAAACGGTTTAAAATAAGCAAATACTTAGTCATACATATGTAGGTGTGTTACAGAAAATTACGTTTTCTCAAATGGTCTTTTCTACGTCACTGTACGATAAATTACCACATCCCTATGAAAACATATACAATATAAATAATGAGATGTCGACGTCAAAAAAAAAAAAAAAAAAGTCAAGCGTTTATATAGAAATCTCTCATTAGCCAGAGGCCAGTGACGCGGCAACCTGCAACAGATTCGTGTGTTCTATTAAAACGTTATATTAAAACACTTATATTGTATCGATAAATATTATATATTACGAATAACGCAATGGAGAATCTGTTTATCATATTGTTCATTGGTGAGTGCTATCTGTATTTTATAATTTTTGTATTATCGACATTTATTTATAAACTCAGTCACAGATAATTTAACCTTAAAAACGGTAGACGATAGACTGAACTACGGAACCTATATTCTTAGTTTTTCTATATGAATTTATATATATATATATTTATAACAGTGATACATTTTACGACACAAATATTATTTAATTGTAATTTAGTTTATACAAGTACAATACTATTACAGTTATGGTAGTAAAATTACTTGAAATTATTATATAAAACAATATAATAAATACTCGGTAAGGAGGTAGATCTTAACATAGCAATAAAAATAAACAATGTAATGAACATGAGATTATCCTTCTTTATTTAGTCGGTTGAAAATTAATTCTACTAAGAATATTAGAGTACCTACGTGTAAGGGATTATTTATAAATTACGTCACACATTAAGAGAAGGGGACAATAGGGTCTACAAAGTATGAAATTGCAGCTTCGTAACATTTTAAAATAATATTAAATATTTAAAAAAATAGAAAACACAATTTTGAAACAATTTTTTTTAATGTAACTATATATATTCTAGGTGTAAGATGAAAAATTGTAAAATATGTTAATGGGAGGGGATTCTCATTTATGAGAATGAGACTAGTTTTGACAAAAATGATTAAATTTGTAATTTATGCCCTTAACAGGCGAGTTACTGCATTTACTGCTATCTACATTGATATACATATGGTATATTAAATTGTTAGATCTGTAGTTAATCAAAATTATTGGATACATTATTTATTAAGAATCTTTATAAATACAGCATATGTTATCAATTTGCAAGTGAGACACAAATGTACCCTTGCAGAAGATTTTATACAGTTTCCCTTTGGCACAGGAAACCGCCTATCATTACTTAGCACCTATATATATGTATATGCTTATAATTTATCGAAATTCTCATTAGGAAGGGCAATACCCAAGAAAATAGTTGTAGAAATTAACTAAAATAAACACAAATTAACAACTAGATACCTACATACGAAGAAACAAGTGCTGTTAAATTGAGAAACTCCTCTTTTTGGTAATGGGTTAAATTCTTGGCTGCTAATTGTAAGTCTTGCTGTCATAGCGTCACTTTTTTGTATATTGCTAAAGATAAACGCAACTCACTAATGAATATTACTTATAACATTACCATAAGTACATAATTATAATTACGTGAATGCAATTAATAGTTTAATATAATGAAATGGTTTTTGTGTAACGTGTTATGAATAATGATGACGACGTTATTCAGAAAAAGTCCCTGTTTTGCTGCCATTTTTCGTTACGAGTGAGTGCTAGTTTTTCTTAAAGTTTAATAGAGTGTTTTTGCACATAAATGCAATTATATATCTACATGACTGGGGTTTCTTTAAATATTTAAGTATTGTAAGATTATTAATAAAAATAATGGAAGATTACCTTCGGAACTACGCAGCCACAGTAATAGATTATTATATCGACAAATATACATTTGTCGATATAATAATCTTGGGAAAAAATTAAATGATTGTAACAACTCAAGTGAAAACCCAATGTAAAACATAATATATTTGCTTTATTTACACTATAGAGAACAAAGTAAATATATGCAAACCCACAATCCGGTTAGACGACATAACTATCCTAATGAGTTTAAGTATACATGTTTACCTATCAAGTTTAAATTCAATGAACATGACGTCGTGACACTGATTGCCAAGGAATACGTAAAGTTGGATTTATAATAGAAGAACAAAGAACTGTACAGTAATAGAACCATTTGTTAGTTAAGACAACATTGCAAGATTTTCGTCCTTAATGCATTTGAGCATCTATAGAAAGTTGTTATGAATATTATATGTGTAAATAACGTTTTCTTTATATTTAATTATTTTAATAAATGCAGTTTCTATGTTTCCGAATGGATGCCAGCAATGCCAACTTTGGGAAAATAAATAAGAAGATTCTTATTTCAATCACATAAGAGAAAGAGAAAACTTGAAGTAAGCCAAGTTTATACAAAAAGGACAAGAAACAAAAGATTTCATTTTTAGTTGTTCTTTTATAAAAACTTTTTAAGTTTTCCACACCAACATTTGGCGATGTTATAAAAGAAATATAATATCCAAATGTTATGCGTCTACCAGTCGGCACCTGGAAGAAATAAATAAAACAAGTATTTTTTATTGTATTGATATATAAAATATACATTCATTTACTATATTTAACATTTAACCATTTTTTTGGTTAATATTTATTTAAAAAAATAGATAACTATTTGGATTTATCCTAACTCTGTTTATTTTATTTATATACATATTTATATTTATTTGTAACGTCTATATTATGTTCCAGGACATAATCTTGGAATTTAGGCTGTATACAAATGCTAGCGGTCAATACCACGAGAGTAGCAGTAAAAACCTGTTACAACCTACATACATGACCACAATTATAATTATTATTATGTATTTTTTTATAACTTGGACTTGTTTTCATGAGGTGTAATTATTATTAATTAAATAATTAATCTTATATATGAAAAAAGTCAAGTTCATCATAGAGAATCATAGAAAAAAGTTTAAAACGTGACTAACAAAAACTACTTCTTCATCTATTACTCTACTTCAAAATAGTAACGGATAAAATAGTCGTATTAGAAACTAAAATAATTTGGCTATTTAGTGAATATATTAAATTTAGATTAATTTTGTATATATAATTAAAAAAATGTGGTTTTTTATCAACCTTAGTTCTTTCTACTGTAACTCAACTAAATTGGTTCATTAAAAAAGTGCAAATCATTTTTTGGTACATCAATATGAACAATTAATTAATATTTATTTTATTTAAAAAATAGTTACGATTCATAAATCTTTTTTGTTTCTACAATACAATATTTTGATTAATTCTGAACCAATTAGAATAATTATATCTTTTAAAAAAAGATTCAATCCTCTGTTTAACCTAATTTTTGTGCAATAAAACTATATACTTATTACTTGTATATATTCTAGTTAATTTAGGAATTTAAAATCAATATTTATCTTTTCAGGTACAGTCTTTAGCGGTACATTAGGGATGTCTTTGCGTCAAAAAAGGCAATCGAATACTAACAGTAATGATTTAGAAGATAGATACGGATGGGAAAATAGTGGGAGGCAAAATTGGTTCCCTAATCTAAACCAAATTAATAATAGACCATGGCAGAACCAGTTTCCAGGACCAAATCAAAATGGCGGACAAAACCAGTTCCCCTGGCAAGATGCAAACCAGAACGGAGGTCAAGGAGGTCAAAATCAGCAGCAGACACAACCCCCAACATCACCTTCCAATAATAATAGGTACAGCATTTTGATTTAAAATACACATATGGGTAATATTGTTTGCTAACATATGTATATATATTCTCTGAACAGGATTAACAACTTGAAATTTAAAAACATTATTTTTTTATTTTACTTCAATTTATGAAAATGTTTGGCGAATACGCCATGTCGTGTCGTCAAGGCAGAGTCACACAGCCTTTGAATTTAAAATAAAAAAGAATTATTAAGGAAATATTGCACAAAACTTGGCTGTATTGTCATGTAAACTTTTTATTGATGCTCCGCTCCTATTGTTTATAGAGAGATGGTATATATAACATTCCTTGAAAAATATATTCCTTAGGCTTATCTAATACTAAAGGATTTTTTAAATTCTTTAAAAATTTCTCAAACATTCTTCAAATACACAAAATTTTAGTATTATTCTAACTAGAATAATAATACAATTTTGTGTATATGTTTTGTGTATTTTGTGTTTTGTTCGGGATATATTTGCATATAGTAAATTCCTTTAACCTTTCAATTTACAGTGGCACTTCAGGTACTGTACAAACCTGCATCAACTCTTGTCCCGTGACACCAGAATACAATCCAGTGTGCGGCACCGACTTGGTGACGTATCCCAACCCTGGTCGCCTCGCGTGCGCGCAAGCTTGTGGAGTCAGTAAGTATCGCAAATTTTGTGTAATATTTAACAAATGTTACCAGATATCACAATTTCACGGGAATCCATATTTCCCGATTTTCGCAATATCCCGACAAACACATTATCAGATTCGAAAACCAAATGTTTGTTTTAGATTAAAATATTTATAATATAATATCTGAAGTTTACAAAATACACGATATTACACGTATCGAAATCCGCAAATTATAAAGTAATCTCTACGTCCTCTGTTGGCCTATATTTTTTCCTTACATTTAGCTTGTTTTCCGTATTGAAAAATCTGCGGTTTGTTTGATTATATAATGCTGTTAGTATACATAAACCATTTGATAATTGTTACGAAACTAAGGTATACGGATTGCAAAACTATAAATTAATAAAATATTAGCTACTGTATTACATAGAACTATACTATCGATTTCCTGACACATTTCAAGGGGAATTACAATATCCTGAGCCAAGGCTCAGCAATGAACCTAGGGTTCATTGCCCTAGAAGATGTATAGAATTAAAACCGTATCCGTCAGGGAGGAGTTGGCAATAAGTCGCTTAAAAATTCTTCTGAGGGTTTGGAGTGTCCTCTGCACTCAATGCCAGTTTAGTTCGGCGAAACTGTAAGGACTAAGCTAGCAACAAACAACATTAGAATAATTAGAAGAAAAGAATTATGGTAAATCCCGGACAGCAGTAGGTATTGTGTCATAGGCTTAACCATAAATGTTTTATTTTTCTAATCATTCTAATGCTGTTGGTCGTTAGCTTAGCTGATCGGTAGAACATCGACGGTCTAAAGCGTCTATGAAATTTAATGTTTACAATACTGAAAGTAGGTAATATTTCTACCACTATTACTAAATATGTACACAATGAGGTATTGATTTTAAATAAAGCAATTCGCAACTCATTGGTTAAACCAGATTCGATATATTCACGTACGTCATACTATTTTTATTTGATTGCTGAAGCATGAAGGATGTACTTATAAATATTTTTCGGAGCAAAAAAGTATTACCTAATTCCCTACTGACTCATACCTATGAATAATGTAATTATTATACTATGAATGTGTATATAGAAAGAATATATACGAGTATAATTTTCTTTGACACCTGATAAATTTCTAGATATTTTTATCACTATCGTAATATGATAATTAAATATCTTTAAAGTAATAAACTGATTAATGCAGTAGTAACAACATTTGGTATAATAGCTTCCCCCTTTATTCTTATTTACTTCTATGCAGTTCTTTACAATATAAATAAATATATAGAAGGTTCATGTCCATGGCTTACTTAGAACCGTAAATAAATCTTTTTATAAGGATAATTATAATTTCAAACTGGAATTTTAATTGTAAATGCCATAAAATTAACACAAGTCACAAATAACAATTGAATAACGTATATTACGGTAGTTTCGAAAATCCAACGTTATTGTGGTTAAAGGAAATTCAACCCGTTTTGTTATAAATCGACATATACATAATTTTAATAGTTATAACTGTTATACGAGTCTACGTGATTAATGATAGTTACATTGTACAGAACTTAAGGAAAATAGTTATTCCTCGTTATAATTATCAAGGTAAATTAAGAATTTATGAATCACTTATCTAACAGTAATTACGACTCACCAAAAGCCCCGTTTGGTGTGAAGGCTGTATCTACTAACAGTCATTCCTAATATTTATAAAATCTAGACAAATAAATAAAATTAGTGCCTGTTTATAATTTCAATGAGCGTTTCACGAAAGTATTTTATATCTTTTCTGTCCGTATGTTTGTTCTTGATAATCTCTGAAAATTTTGACGCAACTTTCACTTTCAGAAAGCTAAAGTTATAAGCAGTAATACGGTTACATTTATTTTAAATATTTCATTTATTTTAATAAAAACATGTTAATTTCCAAGCGGACGTAGCCGCGGGTAACAACTAGTATTATTTATACTACTTCTTTAAATCTTAATATATAAAATTTAGTTGCACATATATCTACGTATATATTGAAAATATTGTCCAGAGAAATATGAAAATATAGTTTATCTACTTTTTGTTATATAACTTTAAATGATTTGTTCACTAAACTACGCCAATATTTTAGTAATTATGTTACTGTAATAGTAATTATGGTGTTACTAATGAAATGTATGTGTAGTAATTGAAAAAATCTTTTTTTCAGATGTAAGCCAGCTCAGGACCTCTCCTTGTCCCACTACAACAGTAGCACCGACAAGCTGATTTAATTATGAATCCCCATATTTCATAAATGATGAATGACTGAACATATTAAAAATGTTATTAAATTATATTTTTATAACAAAAATAGCCGGTTTTACATTTAATCTATAATATGAATAATTTGGAAAGAAATTGTGTTCGTATTTACTTTTATATAACACATAAACACTTCTAATTTTTTTTCATGGTTAATTACAATTGTATATATAGGTATAAACGAGATATTCATAAAAATCAAATAAATTCGATTTGATTTTCGATTAGATTTGAAATCGGGAACTATTTAATAATAGTATGATTAAATATATAATGTAATATGATAAATGTGTACAACATAATATATGATATGATTATTTAAACTTAACTGCTTTTATATTGATATCAAACCCCAGTATTTTTTAATAATATGCATATAAATATAAGTAAAATTAGGGAAGATGTAATTCATAATAATGAAAAACGTGATAACAACAGTAATAAATGGTTTATTAGTATATTGTTGAGAAACTGAGTATCGCGTAAGCATAATACTACTAGTACGAAATGATTCGTAATTGAAATGAAACCGAACAATTTCCGAAATAAACATTCACAGTCAAGGAATCGTTCATCAAAAAAGTCATCATGATTAATACAAAGAATTAATAAGTGCTAAAGGTTTTGCGTGTGGTGGGAAAGTTAGCGAACTGATGATTCAAATCATTACGAGCTTTTCTGCCTAGACTATTACATTACATGTGTATTTCTATCAGCTAAATGAATTACAGTAAGCAATTAAGATGATAACCATATTTAAGACGTTATATTGTGTCTGTCTAAAATGACAAATGAAAAATCAATAGTCTGAAAATTATTTCGTCTTTACGTTTTGCCTAGGAAAAATAATAAATCAATATTTAATTGTCAATTGAGTCATTATTTATTTTAAAGTTGTTTAATGTACTCGAACTTTATTTTTCTACATCAATTATTTGTGTCTGTACTACTGTCTACACTCGTATTATTGCATACACACACATACTATATTGCATTGTATTGTTTTTTATTGTACTCTTAAAAAATAAAATTTGTCATGTAGATAAGTGATAATTTAATTTATATTTATGTATTTGTGTCGAAGTTCGGTAACCTTTCGTCATGTGTAGGTACCCATGTCTGACATTCATAGCAAGTATATGAGGAAAACTGTAAGTTTTGGCGATTCAAAACCAGAATTTAATTGCAAAGCATGTGAACTTGACATTTTTTATTTACCATGAGTTAAAACTAGTTTCTCGTTTATTTTGTAAATATTTGAATTTTAAATGAAATCTGAATTTGTATTATTGGTATCAACAACAGAAATAAATATCAACACACCCAATATACCTAATAGAGTTTTTTCTACCTTGAATTCTTATTGATCACTAGGTGTTCTAAAATAAAAATAGCCTAAGTTACTCCTTATTACATCAGGTACCTGCCAAAAAAGTCCTGTCAAAATCGGTCCAGCCATTTCAGAGATTAGCCGGAACAAACAGACCGACAGACAGACAGACAAAAAATATAAAAAATGTTATTTTGGTATATGTACCGTATATATATTCATATGCATGTAGTAAACGGTTATTTCAATATTACAAACAGACACTCCAATTTTTATTTATATGTATAGATGATACAATATTAATCCCGCCTGCACCGATGCGCTTAAAAGATGGAAAGATGGTGTTGAATTTTCTTTGACAATATACCAAATAGTAAACATACAAATTTTCAACAATTGGTCAAAAGCCAATCCAAGTTTTATAAAACATTAAGAAGTTATGATATATAAGTGTAATATATATATAAAATATTACACTATTGCTGTAAATCATTATCAAAATAGTGTATATTTTTATTTTAATTAATACATATACACCATTTTGATACAAATTACTATTAGCACAGATAACATAATATTACATGCTATTAGTTAATTGAACAATACCTCTATTAATATTTACTAACCCGAAGATTACTACTAGTAGAAGTTACCTAGTTACCTATACCAAAAATTAGGTCGGGCCGAAACTTAATATTTGATTATATTCATGATAATTGGTTGTGTTATTAAAATTCGAGGAATTAACAAAGTTGCTTCGATATGTATATGATATCGAATATATATGTATATGTAATTAATACTAAGAAAGTTTTTGTGATTAAGGGAAACACAACTTTTTGTCTTTGTTTGTGTTTTTTTTTTGTAATTGCACATGCATATATAATAAACTTAATATTTACACATGACTCATTCCAAATTTTACAATAGCTATAAGCGTACAATCTTCTTTTAGTTTGCTACGACTTAATGAAATTTAAAATTTAAGTCTGCTTAGCTCCTACAGTACGTCTGCTAAAGATTCTTTGACAACATATGTACTAGAAAGAATGCTGGCTATACTACTTAATATGAGAAAAATTAAATTTAGAGTACCTAATATTAATTTAACCTCGAATAAAACCCATAACGTGTGTGTTAGAACACTTTCAATTTCATCCTGCTAACTATTAAGGGATCATTGTTTATAGACACGCAATATTAGCATAAAATAATAGACGGGAATCCTCGATGGTCTAAGCATGAAACAGGTTATCTGTTTTCCTGATCCATTGTACTTCTACAGTTAAGAGGTCATAATTGGTTCTTTATCTAGATAATAAGTAAGTATAATAGAATGTAGTTACAGTTTATAAAAACCACTTACGTCCTTCTATAATATGCGAAAAATAATTACATTGTATGTCGAAAAGTTCATTTCGACACCACGTTTCTTGCTTCTATATATTCTGTGCGGACAAAATGAGACTACTACTTATTTACTACGATTTTTTCTTTTGTAAGTTTTTATAGATTATTATTATTTATAATTAGAATAGTAATAATCGCCTACATACATGAACATCATTATTAACTTCACATGATCATATAACGCCCGCAATATCACTCAGGCGGTACATTTCTTAAGGACTATTATTTTTCTTGTAATTTCACAGTCTTATCTCCCTCCTAACCTGCTTGGATGCTGAAATTCACATGAAAATGAAACTTTTTATGAAATCTCGTAAAAAGTAAAAACAAATTTTGGAAATTAGATAAATTACCTATAATTTTGACGTGATTAATTTTTAGGTTTTTAAGCCAAATACGAGCTTGGCGTTTATTTTATCAATATTAACTCACTTATAATTTGTAAAAAAGTTTAAATAATGGATGTAGCTAGTTAAGCGGTTTTGTATAGGGTTTTATATCGGATTTTCCGATAACAAACCAAATTAACCCAAAAAACAAGGACTGAATCGTCGCATGTCATGTACCGTTCAAAAATTCCCATCCATATGTGGTCATGTCAAATGTAACTTTTACCGCAATGTCGATGGTTGATATTATCTACTTTTTCCCAATGTGGATATTTGTAAGGTCTCTATTTTCTCTCTTACTCTTTATTCTATTGTATTGTACATATATGTTTTGTTCCCTTAGTGGGCTTTTCAGATATTTTCAAGATGCAAAAGAGTAATGATATTTTATTATTACGTCAGCACACCTCGAAGAAAAGTCATTAGAAAAAATGACTATCAGTTTTGTAATGTTTCTTTAATTACAGAAACATGATAATATATTAGATATATATTTTAGTCTTACATACTTCTTTTATGTCGGCTTTATTTTATATAATAATAATATGCATGTAATTGTTAGATTATGGCGAACGGGTCACTTATTATGAGGTCTAAGTTTGCTGATGCTACCTTAATGTTCTACAAATTCTTTCTACTTTTCTCTTGTTGCTTTGCCTGGAGGGTAGATAATACAATGAAACGTGACCGTTATTTACAACTATGGTGGATTTAGAAACATTCTCTCCTTGTTACTATTGCTTTCATTTTTCAAGAAGGTTTTGGGAAGTATGTGCATTCCACCGCATATCACCAAAAAGTTGTTAATTCACAAAAGATTTAGGCAAATTCAATATATTTAATATTGAATTTGCTTAAACTTATTAATTAATCAATGGTCATTAGGTAAAAGGTCGAGATACCTTAAATATACCTTTAGCTATAATATAACCTTGATACTTTTTTAAAGTTTCAATGAAATGATTCCGGGTTTGTGATTACACACTCACTTTTATTCAGTACTTTTACTAAAGAACAGTTTAGGGTAATATAGCGCTGAATAATCAAAACCAATATATATTACTATATATAGTTATGTATGTAGTTATAAAGTTTAAAGTTAAGAATTATTAGAATTACAATGAAGAGGAAAACAAATAAACATATTTTTCGCATGTCTCACAATTTGTAACAATCATGGTATATGTAGTAAACATTTACGACATCGTCGAAATTAGTTTCTTATAACTATCTAATGAACCATTTCTTACTAATGAACAATTCATTACCCAAATTATTAGTCAAAATATGTATATTAATATACTATATGTACATGTATATGTAATATAAATTATATCTATTATGTATAAAAAAATCATATCAAATAGAATTACGTGTATACTTCTTATTAAAGTAAATAGTAAAAAGAATAAAATATTGAAATACATGTATGGTACACAAAAGCATCTCTAATATAAAAAGTTTATGTTAAAAGTAATACGAAATAAAATATAACATTTTAAGTATTTTTTTCTTATAGAACTAGAAATAAAATTACTTTTTTTCTTAAATAACCAAACAAAATCGAGAAAAAATAATTTAATAAAAAAAATTGCTTTTGAACAGAGTACGATCGTGATAATTGATTTAATCACGTAAATGCCGCAAATTGTATGTTCACTGTTACGTTAGTGTTATTACTAATATTTTTTAGCGAGTCTCAAAGTATTGTTATTTAAAACCAATTGTTAAAACATAGGCAAGTACTTTAAATTGTTACCTTATTAAGTAGCAAATCCAAGTTGATTAACCGACTTTGTGAATCATCTATAATAAAATAAAACAAGTTGTACGGTGATGAAGAGAGGGGATTTTAACAAACATATATGAGATGGTTGCATAGCCTGTTAGTCATTTTGCGTCTCGTATATTGTGTTGTGTGATGTGTGAGCAATAAGGTTTTTATATACAACTATATGTTTGTTTTGAAATTTTAATATAAAGTGTTACAAAACAATATTTAGGATGAGCTTGAGATTGTTAAGTAAGTATGTTCAGTATCATATATGTATAATAGTGCATCTATATAGATTTATTAAAATCTCCTGTAATTTGTTTGAAATATAAATATTTTCATCTAAGATTTACCTATAAGGAAACTACCTAATTTCCCGTGGGAATTCTCAAAAACGCGTTATCATGTCATTACAGATTCCTAAAGAATGTGTAACAACATCGTTGGTACCTATACAGAATTCGGGACACATTGAGTGGTATTTCGCGATTATGTAATAAGGATAATCATCAGTTTATTCCGTAAAAAAGTCATAAATGTATTACATTAACGCATAATACATATATACGACGACTCATTTACAGAGAACCCTTACATTTATGATAAACTAAGTTTATGTGATGCTACGTCTGATCTTGTGCTATGTGGATGTGAGGAAATATATTCTAAAGTATATTTTCTCACATTAGTATCAGACCAAATTATCCTGTAATGCAATTGAAGTTATATAGTAATAACTGGTTTAAAATATTATCATAAGTAGGTAAATCGATAACATCCAATTTGTTAATAAGTCATTTGAATTTGATGGATGTTGATCGATAGTTATTCGATAGAAGCAGTTACTAATGGAATGGTATTTATTGATGAAATATGTTATGATAATGTATACTGCGGTAATTAGTATAAATGCAAATGGATAAAAATTAACAGGTATATTTTTTATTATTAGTGTATTGTACCTATAAAACGGATATTTAAACATAACGTGCGTATAATTTATATACAAAATACATAGGAAAATATATTTTTATTAAACTCAACTAGATCATAGCGCCACAGTTAAGTTCAAACGTTGTATAAAATCATAGAATACTGCATTTAACAAACTATTATCTGGCCAGTGTTTAGATATGATAAATTTGATAGCTGTAGACGTTAACTTATGAATTTTACTACAACATATTGCATTACATACTGATATTAATTCAGTGAGGGTGTTCCATCAATATCGAAAAAATTACCTTCACATCTGTTATATTAGTAATCATCTATCCTATGAAATATTCGAAATTTATCCGGTTATTCTTGATGTATTTAATACTGTTAAGATATTCCGACACTATAACTTTATTAGTACCTATTTTTTTTATAATTGCCTATTTTTTAACGACTTTAAGTTATTGTCAGGTGCTTAGACTTGACATGGATCTATAATGCCCGCCCTTATAATTCTTCCATATATAATTACCTAATACAAAATATTCATAATTACATTACAATTACACCAAACTTAATATTCATATGATACGGGTCATTTACTAGATTCACATAATAAGTGTTCGGATGTAGATATGTTCATACAATACAGGATTTATAAAATGAATGTAGATTGTATGGGAATATTTTAGAGTTTTTAGGGGTAATACAATGTAATACATGACATTATATACTATTTTTAAATAGGGCTGAAAAAAAACATTGTCGGTAAAGTTTTATAACACCCATTATGTACTTTACAGATTTTTTTAGAATAAAATACTGCATTTTAAATAGACATTTCTCTTTATTTTTATATAACATTTAATATAACATTTCTGTAGATAACAATATAAGGAATATTCTCAGAGAACGAAGATTTCTGTGAAAGATTATCAAGAATTTAAGTATAGAAACATAATTGCATGACAAATAAAATATGTTTTGGATTAGCCAATTACAACACTTCCAGTTAATCAAAAATTACTAAAAAGCATTAAAAAGAACTTCCAGAAAAATATTTTATATACTCTATACTAGATACTACTCTATACCTACTATGTATAACAGGCCAAGGTAGTTTAGTTATAATATACATCAGCAAACATATCACTGGTTTTCATATATTCTAAAATATAATTTTACTAGTAACTCTACCTCTATCAAAGTGAAGTCGTATATATAGATATATACTTCCGTACCTATAACAATAAATATTGTATATACAAATATCACTAAGATAATGTGAAAAAACAAGAATATGAAAAATAACAATAAATATACAAAAGATATAGTATTCCTCAAAACTCGGCTATATTTTTCAGATACTTATCTTCTATTCTTTTATCCTCCAAATATATACGGCGGTTAGTGTTGAATCAAGAATTTCTAAATTTTGTGCTGATGACGTGTTGTGATTTTTGATATTATATTTATATAGGTAAATACAAATATAAGAAATATACACAGTAAACGAATATACATATATAGAGATTTATTTCAAAGACTGTCAATAATTGAAGTAAAAACAAAATTGTTCAAGAGTAGAACTATAACCTGAGTTACAAATTTATAAAATAATTTGCCAGGCACAAAATAATATTAAGAAATAAGTGGCAGGAAAACAATATACTTTTAAATTGACAACTATGAAATTATATGTATTTAAGCATATCAGCGTTATATATATTATATAATAATATTATTATAGAAAAACAGGTTCTAGTTGCGTTGACGCTAACACTAATTGTTCAGTATTCGCTCTAATTATTGTAACTGTCGTTGTTAATAGTATCCTACTATTTTTCTCTATTAAGTAAAATTATGAATTGCACGAGTCATTATATTTATCAACACTTCAGAATTAATGCTTCTTTCCATTTGGTGTTTAAAAGATAAAATTGATTTGTCTCATCCCTTTTGGGATAGAGAGATAAGCCTAGACTGTATCATCCATGCATATAGAAATAAATTCAATATAACTATTAGGTTAAGACCCATTTTCACGTTTGAATCTGCTTTACAAATAAGATAGTAGTTTCTTTAAATTAATTTTGTATCCATTCTACGAAAACTTTCTTTTTTTATAAAATCTTTCATATCTTTATTATAGTGATCGTCGCTATGGCCAGCCACACAGTGGCCGGCGGGTCTCATTATGGGTTTGGTAATTACCCAATACACAGACGTCCAGACTTCCATTATCATGGGTGGGGACATCACCATACTGACTGGGGTTCTTATCCATGGGGCTCTCACGAATCGGATGAAGATTATTCATGGGAAGGTGACCGCAGGTATCGAAATCAAAGGTACGGTGCACCTACAGCCGGTGTACCTATATGGATAAATAGCCTTAATAATAATAATTTACTATCAAACAACATACTTAATTTTCTTAATAACAAGTTAACAACATAACTTATGCTAGTAATATATATATATATATATATGAATGTAACCTGCAGGTTAGTATAATTTGAAATGGCTTCTTTAAAAGTAGACTGTATTGTAAGGCACTGGGTGGGAATATGAACATTAGTTATTTGAAAGCAAATCGTCTCCGGCGATTTACTACTGTATAACACTATAATACTCATTATGAACTAGAGTTTTAAAAAAGATTATAATATAAAATATGGCAAAAACATGTCCATGAATCTTCCAGTCGCAGATCATAATTGTTTTTGTCTTTAGTCGAGACGAGACACGATTGATTTATTGGCGCGTTTAATTTTATTATTCTAAGAATGTTATGCATCTGGCTGCAGTGCCACGTTTGATTGTAACTATTACGAATTATTCATAAGCATTATTATATTTACCAGTTTTATATAATATTACAAACATTGTCCATCGGATATCTGTAACTACTTATGTAGATGCACCTAGTACTAGTCTTAAGTGTACCTGTTTTAGCTTAGATGCATTACCTATATCTAATATTCTTATCATATTAATTTAAATTTATTACAGGTCAATAATGTCTACTACAACAAAAACTATACAAGTAAGCCCTACTAGAATGAATGGTAATGTGGATACAGCACTTAGAGCATCATCTAACCTGAAACAGGCTTCAACTTTAGATATTCTGTTATGTTTGAGAACTTGTATCATTAGACCTGAATACAGGCCAGTGTGTGGAACAGACAACATGACCTACAGCAATCCTTCAAGACTTCAGTGTGCAATTAATTGCGGTGTTGGTAAGGCCATTGTATAATTTAAATGTTTTCGAAATTTGTTGAATTTGTCAATTTTTAAATCCAACATTTCATATTTCATTCCATAAGAAAGACAACGCTGAATATTACTTTTATTAACTATGAGATCAATATCTAATTTAAAACGTAAAACATTAAAACATTGTACATCATATAGCAAAAGTAATAACATAATAATTCTCTAAAACTTAGATTACGACTCAAAAATATATAATCATATAAGGATAAAGACTGTAATAATTATTACAAATATCTAACTATATGCTCGGTAACGAAAAAATTAAACAGCAGACCTAATTAATGCCAAAAACTTCTTATCATAGTCATTATTATTTTGGATTTGGATTACATGGCAAAAAGTGGCCAGTTAGATTCATTAAACCATAGGATTTCGTGTCTGGTATTACAATCGTTCAATATCTTATTGTCTGGTTTAGAAACCTTAAACATTAATTAATTTTTGTATTATTCATGCTCTAAAATTAGTTGATATTTAATATACCACACAGGTTATTTTTTTTTTCACGTACCCTCAAATGGGTTGAAGCTGAAAATCAGTGTTTTGTTCCCTGAACAATGTTCCACGCTGAGCTTCGACCTTTTTGTATTGCTACAGATCACACATAAAACACAATTTTATAAATCTTATGTTGTATTATGTATTTTTATATTCTTATGAACATGTTATGTGTGTGACTAGTAACAAACAAATAAACGATATATCTATCTATCTATCTATCTATTTTGTCATAGATATTATCATAACTTCCTTACTGTTTAAAACAATAGGAAAACTAAAAACAATAGGAGTCCTAATACTTATTAATAATTATTTCTTAATTTTCTAGATGTAGCGTTATCGAGTCCTGGAGAATGTCTATTAAATAACGGGCAAGGTAGTCTGCCTACCGGCCGACCTCAAGTATCCGATGCTACTCTATCACCAGCCAATCTACAAGCCTGCATACGCTCCTGTCCAGTCACTCCAGAATATAATCCAGTATGTGGAACAGACAGCGTAACTTATCAAAACCCGGGACGATTGGAATGTGCCAAGAATTGCGGAAAAGGTAACATTTATATGCAACTATAACTACACCAATAAACTTACAGACATTGCCAAATTGTATATTGATACCGAAATTAAGTATCGGTTTTAAGGATATATTAAAAAAATTATCGAAATTTCCGAAATAACATTTATTTAAAAGTATACTAGCTAACACCGCATAACGTATGCGGTTTTGCCAAATAAATTAAAATCATGGTTCTATGTATTTTTTAATATCACAATATAAAAAAATAGTCCAAAAAATACAAACACAATGTTAGGGGTGGACAACCCTTATCAATTGGGAGTATGAAAAATAGATAATAGCGGATTCTCAGATCTGCTGAATATACATATATATATATATACATATATGTGAAATTTCATAAAAATCAGTCAAGAAGTTTCAGAGGAGTGACACAACTTTGTGACACGAGAATTATATATATATATATATATATAAGAATAATATCCAAATAACCAACCTTAGTCCTTTCTGGTTGGTTTTACTAGGTATTGCTGCAATTTTCATGGACAAAATATTAAATATTTCTCAGAATGTAAAGAATCTCTAATAAGAGTAAAGATTTACACATAAAGTAATGCGAATAGATAATTTATAGATCAATCTTGCTATAGAAACAGTTAAACTTTATATTAATTAAGAAAAGTATTAATTATAATAGTAACATTTTCATATGTTTTTTTTTCTAGTGGTATCATTATTCCGACCTTCTCGGTGTCCGCCTCCAGAACCTGCATCAAACTCAAATTCAGCCAATAATAACAATACAACAAGCGCAACAACAGTGACAATACCAACAGAAAGGCCTATAACGAACCCCATGCAATCCAGTGACTCAAATGGTCCAAATAGATTCACAAGTGTAGTGAGTCCAATAACAAATTCTCCTCTTGATACTACAGACAGAATGACTACTAGCAATGGACTAGATTTTAGTATTCCACAAAATTTATTAGATAGTATATTCAATAATATGGGCACAACTGAAAATACCCCAGATTTTAGTTATGACGAGAGATTTCAGGATCAATAATATCATAAGTAAAAACTTAATTTTTAGTATTATTTTACCTATTGTAATGAATAAAAGTATTTGTGAACATGTTTTAATGTTTGTTACTCAATCATATTGATGAATTTGAATGAAATTATCAATAGATATACTAACTGAAGAACATGGGATGTTTTAGACTAATTGACAAACATAGACAATTGTAATAATACGTCTAGTTAAAAATATGATACTTAATGATCAATAAAGAATACCAAATATGAGCCATTTATTTATCATTACCATTAATAAATTAAGTACTTTGTTAATTACTGCCCACACACAGTTAATAATACATTTGCACAAATTTTGATTCAATAGATTGTATAAATTTGGATATCACCAAAAATTTTCTCATTCATTTACAAGACATCCTAGGGGATACTTACTTGTAACATTTTTAAATTTATAATTAGAAATGCATCGTATATTTGATTGTCCAGGTTTTATTATTTTATTATTATTCGTATTTCTTGCCGGAATTGTTGAAAGTGGAAAGCGTAAGTATTTTATGTATATTACATTCGTATGTCTATTAACAATAAACGCTTTTGTTAAGTTTTCACCTATTAGGTATTTGCATAAATTTTGTATTCATATATAAATTTACTTCTGATAAAAACAGAAACTTTATAATGTATTTTACTATTTGTAATTTTAGTAAACTCCCAGAGACCCTGCAGGGATAGTTCATCCGAATGTTTGAGGAGAACTTTACAAGCTATATTGCCGAAATTCATGAGCGGTGTACCAGAATATGGGGTAGAAAATATGGATCCTTTCCAAATTCAAAAACTTGATTTTGATTTCCCTGGCAATCTTAAAGGTCAACTGAGAGATGGTTGGGCTAAAGGTTTAAAAAAGTGCATTGTGAATTCAATAAGGTAAGCAAAATTAAATTAAATCCTTAACTCTCTTTAATACGCCTCAGAGATATCGTAAATTTTACTTACTAATTCACTTGTGAATGGTAGATATGAATATTAATGAAACTTTGCTGATTAGTTTTATTTTACTTTTATATGCGAATTTAGAGCAAAGATAATTTCATAATCATAAAGAAAACATAACAATCATTTCATACTCCTAGAGGAGATTTTTGAGATAACAAAGTATATTAAATAGACATATTTTGATTATCTAGAACTGTAAAATACTTTTATATTTTAGTTTAACAGATTTCGTTGTGGATACTGTGATTCATTGTAATCTCACTATAAAAGGAAAGTACAAATCTTCTGGACGGTTGTTATTGTTCACGATCAATGGCAGCGGTGACTCTACTATTAAGTGCGGTAAGTAACTATTTGTATAATTTAGCTTGATAGACTAGAGAACCAAGTTTACAACTTCGTAGTGAGTACATTTAGTAAATTTATTTAATTTGATTTAGTTTTAATGTGTTGTTTCATCACCGCCATCAATGTTCTATGGATCAATCATGATATAGGTACTGATAGATAACGCTAAAATATATTTTAATTTTGTATCTAAGTAATAAAAACTAAAACTTTAGACTTCGGGAAGAATACCGAATGAATAAAACAATATTCAAAATGAATATCATATCAATAATCATGTATTCAACAGAAAGATAAGGTTCCCAATAGATTTTATACATACTAAAAACCACGCTACCTCCTGACTATATAACTACCTGTATAACTTTTATGTAAAACTGACCTATAACGGTTAAGCCATTTTTCAGATTAGTATACATAGAGATAAACAGATAAATATTCTAACTATAATTTTTAGGTTAACAAAATGCTCTTATAATAGTTTGTGTTTCATATATCTTTCGTACATACAGAGATCAGTTACATTTCTATTATATGATTTTTCTTTTGCTTAAAACTTCCTTAATTCTAAATGTTTTATTTTCCAGTGGACATCAAAATTCACAATATTATGAAATTAGGATTTAGAGAGTTGTCCGACGGTCAACAGTATTTGACGATAGATGAGACAAAAACAGATCATAGTTACGATGGTCGTGTTATGTATCAGATGACGAATCTCTTCAATGGCAGCCCTGAAACTAGTCAGTATATTATTTTATTACTTAATTATATAAATATTATATTCACTTAATCATGCAAATACTTAATGATAACAATGATCTGAAATTTAATTAATTACTAACTCTAATTTCCATTTTAGTCTGTAATTGCAGGTAATTGTATATGGTACATTATTCCTTCTAAACTAGCTAAATATTTCATATATTTATATGTATATATATTGTTCATTCTCTCTCCATAAATTTATGCAAAGCTAAAAATATCCTTTTATAAAAATTTTCTTTGTTACAGGTAAGCTAGTACTTGACTTCATGAATGAAAACTGGCGCATGGTTGCTCAAGAATTTGGTGATCCAATGGTCGATTTTGGAGTATCAACAGTATTAAGAAATATTCAGAATCTTTTTAATAACGTATCATACGAACGGATTGTAATGGGTGATTTTTAAAGATAAAATTTTGAAGTCATATGATATGTTTGTGAATAACTTGGAAGTAATAGTCTAATTTATATAATAAAACCAGTACATCAACAACAATTATTTTATTTTTATTCTGATCACAATCGTTATACGACTACACAAATATGCTGGTGCAAAAGACCAAACAACGTTTTTTATTAATAGAAGGCTAATTAAAATGTAAAGAATAATCTTACTCAACAATATGATTTACTTGAATAATTACTATCAAATACGTAGTAGCAACACTTATGTACTTAAGCATCAAAGTAATGTCAACTGAGAACATGTCATAAATGAAAATACGCAATGGCCACGCTTCTATCAGATCCATAAAAGCTTTCGCTTGCATCCTCATAGGCTTAGGGAGATCATAATCCATGATCACTTTATTCACCAAGATTTTGCTTTCATTTCTTGTCAAAAGGAGTCTTTCGCAAGCAAGAGACATAAAAGCAACCTTGAATATTGCTGTTATACACCAAAGAATGATAGTTATTAGCGAGCTAAAGTTCGCGGAAGGAGTACGATAGTAGGTAAGTGAGGTCCAGATTGTAATTATTATGTATGTGAATGTAGATACCAGAGTCATGAATATTTGGAAATTAAAAACTTGATTGATGAGGCAACATGTTTCTCCAATAATATCATAAGTCACAGCCAAATCTCTAATCTTCATGTTCTTGTATGACATACGTCCAATCAAATTAAAATTCTCCTTAGGTGCTGGCTTTCTTTCACCGACTATAAACACAGAATTCTTGCTGTTTTCTTTATCATTCATAAAGTTGGTCAGATATTTATTAATAACATTCAGTCTAGACTTCAACATGGAAATTATTAAACAAAATATCAATATTTCAAGATTTTCTTCAAAGAAAATAGGTAGTACTATTATTTTACTCAAAGAGATCTCATCACTGGTTAGTAGATCGCTAATACTCACGATGATGTGGTAGACAGCGAGAACAATAATGTACCTAAAGGTTCTACTGCGAGATGCTTTATAAAAATCTTGGTTAGTGTTGATATGTAACATAGAGTCAAGATTTGCAAATGTCGTGAATATATTTATATTGCCTACACTTAAAAGGAAGGATGTCATTATAGCTGATGTGACATATTGAAGCAAAATAACTATTGACGGCACTTCATCCATAGTATCAACTAAACTTGCTGTTCCTGTAATCGCACTTGGTAATTTTAAGAAGTAATAAAAAAATATGACGTGAGCAGAGATAATTAGGATTCCAACGAGTTTCATTCTTCTGTTAGTAGGTTGTAGTCCATTGTTCACAATGTGAAATCTATAGATTCCAAAACAATATTCGAATATTAGTGCAAATTGAACGGTGTGGATTAAATCGCTAATATTTGTTCTGCTTTTAAGCAAATTGTCTTCATTATCATCCGGAACCTTCTTTTTCGGCTCCACTTTGTTACTCGACATTGTAAGTTCTGCGAGGCTTGTGTCCTATTCATAAAAAATCTTTGGACTGAGCTCTCACCAATAAAATTATATTTTATACGATCATCAAGAAAATTAAATTCCATTACTATGATTAATTACTTGAAATGAAAGTAAAAACCTATTTGTATATTATGATTATCGAGAAGTAAAGTAAGTAGATTATATTTGTGTACGCTTGTAGGTGTAATACGTATTAATATATGTATATGAACAACTGACAATTTTTAGTCTTCTAATAAAGATTATTAGTGTGAGAATAACAGTTCCTTGGTTTTGGAGTAACGTACTTATTTTGAAGGTCTAGCTGGATCTGCAATAGGGGTGGATGGAAATTATGATGATGATAATGAATGATGAAATTTATTCATATTTCTAATACGTGCTCATACTTATAACCTATGTCTATTCATCTATACATATAAATAAAATTGGAGTGTCTGTAATATTGAAATAACCGTTTTTTATTACATGCATATGAATATATATACGGTACATATATCAAAATAACATTTTTTATGATTTTCTTCTGTCTGTCTGTCGGTCTGTTTGTTCCAGCTAATCTCTAAAATGGCTGGACTGAATTTGACGGGACTTTTTTGGCAGGTAGCTGATGTAATAACTCCTTATTACATCAGCTAACTTAGACTATTTTTATTTTAGAAAATAAAGTTAAATTCCACGCGGATGAAGTCACGGGAACAGCTAGTACCTAATATATGACCTTTTATAGGTATCAATATAATTGTTAATAAATGTTGTAATAAAATATAAGTGTTGTCTAATAATGTTGTATAATTTATTTTAAAAAAATAACATAATCTTTAAAAAAACGAACTAGTAGACATATTTGTTTTGTATGTATGGATGTAGAAGATAATCTTCTAACCTATTTATCCAGTTTCAAAATAATTTCTACTGATATTTGGAATGGACTTGGCTATATCTGACATAGAAGTATAGAATGACATCTAACTTAGGATTTTATTTTACAAACAAGCTACCAAAATTATAAAATTAGTTTCTTGTAAAGGACTACTTTATTATAAAGTAAAGCGACATCTAACATTTCTCTTTGCTTAAAAAATGCGTTATGAAATACAATAGAGGGCGCAGTTTGAGAAATATCTTTTTTTCTACTACTGCATACTAGATGTCGGTAGTGGAAGAAAATGTATAATATGGATGGATAAATCTTAAATGAAAAAAATTATTTTAAGTTAAATAATATAATTTCTGTTGGATTAATAAATAAAATAGAGAGTGGTCTGTATTATTTAAAAAATAATTAATGGAAAAGGAAGGAGAAATACGACTTCACCCGGGAAGAACGTCTCCACACTCCGAACACCCCAAAGTAAGCAAAGTAACTCTTACTCACCTTTGCTCAGGAACGTCCCGATGTGTAGTACTGTTTAGTGGCCACGCACTCTAGAGTGTATATTTTCATAAAAACAATTGTATTGTAACAATTAAATATTTTTTTTTATTGTTTTATATATTTACTGAAAAATACGGAGCGTCCTTTTTATTCCAGTTCTTATTTTCGATTGTTTTTTTATTCTATATTCGAAATTAGCGCCACATGTTTTTATTTGTGGCCAGTATTACCAAGCGCCCTTTGCTCCAGCAAGCCGGTGATACAACCTGCCTACTAAGGAAGATCGGAATACGGAACAATTTCAGTTCAGAAATATCTATTATAGAATTAAGACCCGTAGCATTAAAACGACTTTTATAAACGAGTAAGTAGAAATCGTAATTACCTAATACCACTTGAATGTTTTTGTCGCGAAAATTAAACTCCTACATCAGTTTCAAAATCTAATAGACGGCTAATTTTGTCTATTTACATAATTTCACTTCTCAGGTTGTTAAAATAAACACTATTGTTTACAAACCATACAGTCTTCATTCATTAGTACATTTAGGTTTCTATTGATCTATACGGACAGAGGGAACAGCTTTAAATACACTTTCTTTATTAAATAATTATATATTAAAAAAATGATATACCCACCATATTTTTCTATATCAAATAATAGACAATAAAAAAAGTGAATGCACGAAGCACCTTTTTATATAGATATTTATAAAAAGGTGCTTACACCTACCTATTATACCTACAAGTACCCTATATTTACAGAAGTGCAAACATAGTAGTGATGGAATGTACAGTAGTCTCGTAGGTCTAAAGTAAATAATATAATATTCTGTGACGTTGTATAATGATTGGGTACATGAGAGTAGTCACGCGTGGAAGTCACATGTAGTAATTTCATGAAATGAACACGTGCCGGAGGAAAGCTTTTCATGCAACGTGCACCTACATACGCATTTATTAAATACGTAATATATATGCAGTACCTACCTTATCATTGTGCCTGGGTATAGAAGGATTTTATTTTTAACAGTAAATATAAAATATTAATTTTTATACCTACAAGTAATAGTTAGAAATTTTAAAAACAAAGGTAATGGTAGTATTTAAACTGTAATCTGGTAGAAACTAAAATACTAAATCGGGTCAGATAGGCAGTACAAGCCGTACTGCCTATTTTCTTTTAAAAATTAATTAATATATTATTTGACGGACTCAGTGTTGTAGTTGTTTACCTTACCGTTTTACTTCCGATGGTCGCGGGTTCCATTCCTTACACGGTACATATATTTGTATTCATGAGAATGATTGTTTTCTATATATATTATGTATGTAGTTACAAAAAAAAAGTATCTACATATTTATATCAGTAGTCTAGTATCCATAACACAAGTTCAGCTTAACTTGGGACTAGATGGCGTTAATTGATTTTTTTTATTAAATTTATTTGTTTCTCTACTGTTTTTATTATCACATTTTTTTTTAATTATAAATATATTATGTAGTACTTCAGCCGCGATTTGATACGGCCAAAGGCGTTATGTGAATTGTCCAAGGACATTATTATTATATTTTTTTAGTTTTATCACCATATGAAATTTTATATGTACATATATCCAGTAGGTCTGAGCTGGCTACTATCTATTTTTCATACCCCTAAGTGATAATGGATACCCCTAACATTTATTTTTTGGACAAAATTTTTATTTTTTCATAATGTGTTATTAAAAAACACATATAACCCTAAATTTTCATGAAAAGCATGCCTTTAAAAACTTTTACTTACATAATGTAGATGTCATAACGTGAAGGTAGTTATACGTGTTCAATCTCAAATGGATACAGTGAACTGCTTTCAGGTTGCCAACTGTCATGGGTCCCAGCTGAGCGATGCGGACCTGCGCCCGCTGTATCGACCGCTCCCACTAGTTACGTGCATTCCTTGACTTATCGATGTTTAATATATCTATTAATACGTAACGGATGTATTACGAATATTGTTTTTTTCTACGTGGCATTTAATTTTGGATTATACACGAGGTATTTGATATGATAATATTTCAGAACTCCCGAATACGAATATGGTCACGAATAGAATAATTTTGTATCGATTTTTATGTTTTATGTTTAGTAAATGTGGTTTCAATGTTCGGTAAATGCCATTAAAATTGTTATTAGAGTAGGTATTATATTTTACTGTAATGCACCGATTTTGCTTACATTGATAAATTTGTAGGTACAATCGCAGATAGAGCCATATCATAGAATAAGTCATCATAAATGGGGTATATTTACCTGTAAAAAATAGAAATGGTAACAAAAAAAAAAATATTTTTATAATGAAAATTCTTTAGTAGTCATAGTGAATATGCAAAGATGCTATAACATGATTAGCATTTGAAATCCTCATTGTTCCGTTGTATAAATACTTTTACTTGTAAGTATATTATATAAAAATATTTCAAAATATAATATATTCGAGTAACATAGGCTGTAGATTCGCGGGATACCACGAATTTCGAATATAGCTCATGTTATATCTTAATATAGATATTTAGGGTGGAAAAATTTGAAATAAAATCGGTCAAGTATTTTTTAAGTTTATAATTTATAAACCAACATATAAAAAAACGAATTTTTCTTTATAATATTAGTATACTCGTAGATTAAGCATTATCGAGGAACATGCCAGCTCTATTCGAGGGTTGAACGAAAGAACTGTAGCAGACAAAGCGGCACAGGCAGCAGTGGACGCGCGACAATCGCGCGGGCGGCTGCTCCACGCCGCCGCCGCATCCGCCACAAGACATCCGCGAGAATCTAGCACGCGGCATCATGGGACAAACCTCAGGTGTCGAAAGTACACCAGACGATGACGAGGAACCCCGTATCCGAGTCAACCCTACAGAGGATTCCCTGGTAAGTTGCTATATAATTCACAAGCCATAATAGCCGCCTTTTATATGTAACAAGGATTATGTATGCAAAAGTTTAATATTATTTGGATTTTTCAGTTGATTTAGTTTATTCCGCAACGTTTGGTGCATCGTGATTTCTCTAATTTTCAATTGATTTACATATTTATATCGAATATATACTAGCGCCATATTATTTCAGTTACATAGAGTCATTTTTCATAATAAATATTTGGCAAACAAATCCAGTTAGCAATACGTCAACTATAATTGTTTACTTGTGTATTGATTTTGATATATATATATATATATAATACACTGATTAGATTTGATTGCAATTATATATTACTTGATACTTTAATATACTAATCAGTATAACATCCATCCTCTAAAATTTTTAACTACTTATGGCATTGGGGTACACCAGTAGTAGATTTTCAAATGTTCGTCGCAGGTCTCTTATTATTATTAATTATTATATATTATTAAATTATTACTATTAATTTTGCGATTAAACAGCTACTCCCATGCAGTTCTTTGCTGTGAAGGGGTAATAACAGTGAAATAGATATGTACTTCTTGTTCGTGGATAGCGTGGACATGGTCATATCATATAATAATGGTTGTTGTATCGTTGGGTCGCTTGTTATCGCACTGACCGTATACTCGCATTTCACAGAAAAAAATACACACAACATATCCTCATTATGTCTGAATGTAGGGCACGAGTCGTTAGGATAGAGCAACCAAAATCATTGGTCATCAATGTCTTTGCCAGACTCGACCCATTTTGCGGCGAGATATTGCATCTTCAGGCATTTACTACCGCAAATATCACGGTGTCTGAGAAATTGTTCGGATTAATACCAGCTGCTGAATTTCACCATAGTTCCACCTACCAGGAACTAAAATATCACCCTGATCATCACGATGAACGGCGATCCTCCACCGTGCGGTTTTCTAATTTTTTACCACGCATTGTGGAATCACTTTCCAGTAATGGTATTTCCGAATCGATACGATATTGAAACGTTCAAGAAAAGAACTTATTCTACCTTCTTAAAAACCTGACATTGCACTTGCAAATCCCCTGGTGGTCATGGGCGGCGGTAATCACTTATCTAGCTCCTTTGTCCCCTATGTTGCAAAGAAAAGATTAACTAGACGGTTTGCTATAATTTTGTAGAATTGGTGCAACAAAAGTAATGTGCTTTAGTTTCTTTTTGTCTATTATTACGGTTTCAGTTATAAAATCTAGTTTCTATCAGATATTATTTTTAGGGCATTATAACATAAGAAAATACCTAATGAATTCTAGCACAGCTAACCACTATCAAATTGGATTTAGCGAATAATGCGACTTTTAGTGTTTGTCCGTTAGACATGAAATCGATTAGAAGTAAGTATTAACTGATCAGGCAGCATGTAATTAACGTAAAGTTTGCTATATCCAGTTGGTTGATATTTCTTATAAAAAATGGCACATGTGCTTCTTAAATAACATAAGAATCCGCTATTGTAGGATTTTCGAAGTGAATATAGGGAACAATCTCAGGCAAAAATCTCAAGATTCCAAGTTTCCTGAGGTTAGCCTAGTCATAAAAATAAGGTACTACAAGCAGTGCCGGATTTATATTTTTTATGAGAGTTGGCCACTTTATTTTTACCGCCCCATCTTTCTAAAATAATAATTTTCTCTAATTTAATTGTTTGACTAAAAGTCAAGTCCTCTGAAATCGAGTGACCGTCCTCCCTCTGAAATCTGCCGCCCCTAGGCCGCGGCCTATATGGCCTATTTATAAATCCAAGACTGACTACAAGCGGAAAGTGAAATAGATCATCACCTTTGTTTAGTGATTTTATAAAGTAACTTAATGCTAAAGTAGGTTTAAGGAGTAGTTTTTTTTTACCTGACTGTGCGTTTATGCACGCTAATATTAGAATGCAGTTTTTAATTAATTACTTTTCGCAAAATCATATCGTTTCATTCTAATCGTTTTTCAAATAAAAATCTCATAAACTTTTATTACCTATTGGTTTTCTAATTTCTCGGCAGGGGTACTTAATCGCGGTCTCAGCTAGTTACTATACATATTTATTTATATTAAATTTTGCACAAAAGTAGACGATATAAAAATTTATCAGATACATAGACGATTGTAGCCAAAGGCGCTCTATTAACAAGTGGTGTTTATATTGTTTTTACAAATTTTCGCGCCAAACGCCTACCACTGCCACATTAACGTTTGATTGGCTAGTTACCTCGAGGTATTTGACAGTTGTCGGTTTGACAACACGGCCACTGGTTAGTTTGATTTTATATATTCTGTTCTGCGTCTGCGCGTTGCGTTTGTGAGTGAAACGATTAAAGAAACGTCACGTCACACGCCAGAATTAAATTCTATTGTCAAGTTTCGTAAAATTGTGGAATAAAATACTTTTATTCATTTATAATTCTATACTTTATAATGTTAAATTAATATTCTACAGACTAAATAATTTATTGTAAATGTGATTTGTTTAATTCTACCAACTATGGGGTTGTATAAGTGCTGTCAAAATTAAACTTTGTTTTTGTTAGCGGGATAGACGAAGGTGTGTTGATATTTAGTTATTTTCGCTTGAACTTGATGAGATTACAACACGTCCAGTGCCAGCCAGCTGTGCAGTGACTAAACATTCTATTTTTTGTTCTGTTGTTGTGCTGAGACTCTGGTTGAAAAGCTTAAAGATGTCCAAGGTGTCACTCAATAATATTCCATCGAATCCTCGTATAAACCGCCTTAGAACGTTTTCCAGGGTAAGTAGTACACAGTTATTTTTTTTACTAATAATAGAATGCTAAACATCTGCCATATTTTTACTTTTAGGTTATATAGCTACTTTGCAAACCTTTATCATGACAAGATTTTAACTACATGTATTATTACATTTATTTTGTTACAATTTGATATTTTACTCTTCAGTGTAAAGATAATTGTAATAACCATAAAAATAATTTTTGATAACAATATAATTTTATCAATTGATATTATATTTATATACAGTCTTGTATCAATTTAACTATAATAATTTGTTGTTATATACAAATGCTTATGCCAGTCCTTTGTTCACAATTCCCTCATATTCATATTTATCAATATTGTTGAACTGGATGGGTTCATTCCTACAGTTAATGTATTACTAAAGTTAAATGATATAATATTTGCTTTAACTTAATGAATGACTAAATTGTGTAAACATATTAGATGATTATTGTGTTGTTATATCATAATTAAATAATCATATTCCTATGTGCATTCTTGAATTAACTATTACTTTAATACATGTATAATATATTTATAACATCAATAACAAAAGAGCTGAAATAAAGCATATTGTAGTTACTATTGTATTACTCTTTAATACTGCAGAATATAAATTATATTTTACAGTAGCAGTGAAAAAGGAAATAACCTTATTATATTAAATACTACTAATAACCTCATTCAATAACTCAAATCTAATATAATTTAAGGATTCCGTTGTCCATGTATTTCATTTGGTTCATGTCAATGTGAACTGATGCATATAAAAGGCAACTTAATTTGAAATTGGTATAGGTATAGTTATACCTTAAGCTGCCTTTTATATGCATCAGTTCACATTGACATGAACCAAATGAAATACATGGACAACTAAATATATTTAATACCAATACAACTGTATTAAATATATATATTACCACTACAACTATGCCTATAACAATTTAAAATTAAATTGCCTTTTTATGCATTATATAGGTACATAATATTTACACTTCTCTCAGCTACTTGTCGCATAAATAATTAAAGTTGGAAACCTCTATAATCTAGTTGGGGTTTTTTACAGTTTATAAATCTAAGATAAGTTCATATATGATATTATATATGACATTTAAGGAATGAATATAGAAAACTAAACTGTCAGTTATATGGAAGTTGTGGTCACATGTTGAATTTGTTTTTAATTAATATTGTAAATTTATTTTTAACTAATACTCTATATGTATGATGAAAGAGTAACAATACAATGTGTCATTATTACTTGTATTCTTTAACTGTGAGTAACTGTGTGGTAATAAACAGCAATCATTTTTGTATTAATGAGAGACTTGATTATGGTATGCATTAGTGGTAACATGAAGAATCATACACTTTTTAATTATCAATGGGAACTCTATTTTTAATAAACTGAAATACTTCCAAAAAATTTAGTTAGTATTTTTTCTGTTTAAATTTTTATATATTATATTTTTTTCTGATATTTTTTATATTTAAATAATACTTTGCAGTATTAAACCTAAATGCATTTATTTGCATTACAATTTAACATAACTATAATGTATAAATATACATTATTGATAATTGTTCAATATTAGTATACAATTATTTTTGTATAAATGCAGCATATGCATATTATACAGCATGTAATATTAACCTATTACATATAAGTGGTCAAAATTAACTTAATTTGAGTTATGAAAATCTATTAAAGCAATTCAAAGAACACAACCCTATACCCACCAATTACAGTACACACACCATTTGCTAATTGTGGCATTACCATTATCCTGTGTAAATTAGGATGTGATGTCAATTTAGTCTGGTTAAAACTGGAATTGTTTAGTTTATCATCAAGAACAAGGGTAATTACAAAATATGGGGCTCCATACACAACAAAAGTGCATGATTGTGAACAGACATCATTAGTCAACATTAGTTAATTGTATTTGCTGGGTCTCTTGTTTGAAATTTTTAATTCTTAATATAGTTTTGGTGGTTTGTAGAATTGTACTTTAACTATTGAATTTAATATCATGGCACTAATCAAGGTTTGTATTCACTTTTTGTACATATGTAGCTCTAGTATCACAGTGTTTGTAACAAAATGAACTCTGAAAGGGCTGGATCAATTCATATAAAGTTTTGTTTGTATAATTAGTAGATCAGATCTAGTGATTATACTTTATAAGAATTAATAGGACGTAAACTATTTCATATCCTACATAATTAAAGTGATAAGGGGGTGGACCCCAACAATATTTTTGTAACAATTCAAAAATACTGATAGTTCAAAATTTTCACCCTTCTACCACCAACACCTATTTTATAACAGCTTTTAGTACTTGAATCTATGTATCAAAACAATTGTTGCCTTGTCAGCCAGTATGTAATACATATATTAGCTTTCCCTTTGAAATGTTCTTTCTAAGCGAAGTGATATTCAAAATTAACCAATAATTATTATTTATTTAATAATATGAAATAATTTTTACATTTTTTCAATAATAATACACCTAGTATTGACAATCAATACAAAAGCTTACATATAAGTACAAATAATGCATTTATATGAACATATTTATAATTTGCTAAAATGTTTTTAGGAATAATTGATGACTGTGATATATTTGATATTGCCCTTACCTTGTCTCATTAATTTCATAACTATATTTTGTCATTGCCACAGATCCTAATTAGTGGCACATTTTTACCGTTGTTTTTTACGTACCTAATTGATATAATTATAATTATATAAAATAATTAAGTAGAATCTATCAGGCTAAGCTTTACATAATATTGGAGTGTAAGGCACTATGTATTTGTTCAGGTCATGAATAATTATTTCATAGTTATAGAATAATAATAATTCTTCATCAGAAATATGTTATTAAACTTGTTACTAGGTATACATATATCGTGTGTTACTGCAGTATCTGCATACTGGGACTTTATCACGCCTATGAATAATGACCGCTGTACTATGTTATGGTATGTGAATTGTTTCGCAATGTAATCATCTCTGCTCCAGTAGGATAGTCGCGTTAGTAATTGGCACAAACTGTTTTGTCAACTATATGAATGATTATACTTTGAGCAGCATCAAATACGAGTACTAACTACAGTTCATATAGATAGTTTTTAATGCATGATACTGGAATGGTGCACTCGTCTGTACTAATGGCCCTCCCATTAGTACAGACGAGTGCACCATCAGTGGAGGTTGGTAAGATGATCATGATGTCAGAACAGTGGTTTCCAGAGGGCGTTTTCTCAGGAAGGCTGTGTAATCCACATTACTAACCATGCTCTTCCTATAAATAGATAGTGGTCAATATTGTTAGCACAAATTAAAAATTATGACAGTATCGGATAAAACATATTACTCTTACAGTTCAAATATTCGCAAAACATATTCTAAGTAATTTAAATTGAAAACTTCTTTTCTATATTCGCGACTTCTGAGACAAACATCTTATATATAAAATTCTCGTGTCACAGTTTTCGTTCCCATACTCCTCCGAAACGGCTTGACCGATTCTCATGAAATTTTGTGAGCGTATTGAGTAGGTCTGAGAATCGGCCAACATCTATCATCTATCATCATCCCCCTAAATATTAGGGATAGTCCACCTCTAAATTTTTATCTTTTATTTTTAGACAAAAGTTTTAGTTTCTATTTTTTTATGATACAACATACAAAAATACATACAATCCTAAATTTTCACCCTTCTATTATCAACCCCTATTTTTTTATAGCGTTATTAATTTATATGGCAAAACAACGTTTGCCGGGGCAGCTAGTAGCTTTATAACTTTAAGTGCTAAGATATATTTTTGAGTCTGTAGATGCTGACAAATTAGAAAGCTAATTCAAGTATACATTTATTATTACTTATTTGAAACTAAATATTACTACCGTAATTTTACCGTATAAATTTCGAAGGAATATGAACTCGCATCTCTCGGTTATTCCGGCTGGGCGAGTTTATCTTGTGGAGGTGAAAAAAAAAATTAAATTACATATATAATAAGTGCATGAATTGTGCACCAGTTGTTTGTCTTGTCTATCTACTATTTATTTAACATTTAACAATATCGTGATTTTAAATATGAAAATAATTATGTACTACATATAATGCTGCAGAATATCAAATGGTATAGTCTAAAGTATAAAGTATACCTTGATAAATAAGTTTATGAATTCAGACAAAACATTCTGACTATAATGTACTTGTATATATAGTATAAAAAACTGCGGTATATTCCACGAGACTTCATGGGATGATATAAATATATTATCACGCGCATTTTTAATTAATTACGTTAGAAACAAAGGTCGGCGTGACGAGGAAGTTTGTGGTATTGGTGAATATATAATAGTGTGATAGATACTTAAATAATAAGTACATGCATATAGTCAATTATGACAGCACCAGGTGTTTCCATCGTTTGTCTAACGCAGATAAAATTATGACAAGCGAGATAACCTAATAATAACACTATGTGCTTCATATATTTTCAATGGTTACGTACAGAAAAAATGTTTTCTTTGTTTACTTGTGATATATATGGTATACGTGTAATATAGATAATAGGCTCATAAGCGTTATACTGAATAGTAATAAAAATTGAAAAGTAAACAGTGGGAATAAAACTCGCGTAACAAAAAAGGAAATGACAAAATATATATATTTTTAAACATCGTTTTATCTCTATCAAATTACTCCACACTCGATGGAGCTGCATTATTTAAAGTAGCCCAGCTTTGCATTGTTACCATACTTACATGAGTATGCCAAATTTCAGTCTGATCGCCAAATGGTTAATATCGCCCATATCAAGTAGAGTAGACACCAATGAGTGTATGTATTCATAGTATAAATACATCAGTCTTTACAAAAAAGGTATCTCTAATAAATCTTTCCTTTGTGTAGAAGTAAATAAACAAATTTGTAAATAAGCCGGTCGCAACAATGCTATTAAGAATATTAAACAT